AAAATATGATACTGAATAAAGTAAAATAAAAGTTGAAGTGAAATAGAACCATCCATCTTCAACCACCTCTCTTACTCTATCGAAATAATTTTCTAAAAAAAGTAAACATCCAGACTTAACTGTGTCGTGCAAGTAGATAAATAGCCGGGGTGGTATACCCGACAACCGGCGTTTTTCGTTAGACTAGATTGCGCTGACTGGTCGACGAAGAAGTCGTGCTTATGACTTCCTTATAACTGTCATCTCTCAGTTCTGATTCCTGTTGACCTGTTCACACATTTATAGGAGTTTGAAGGCGTATTTTTCAAGTTACAATTTTTCTTTCACGATATTTAAGACTGGACTACTTCAAATGATAGCGTTTTCTATTTATCAACGATCGCGCCATTCAATTCTTTATTTTTAAAATTCCAATAATATGTATGCTGACAACAAAAAGGTTTAAATAGTTTATGTCTAATATAGACAAACATAAAAAATAAAAAATAAATCCCGCTCTTTAACACCATTACTACACAATTTGTTTACAATATATTTTTACGGTGAAGACACTCGAACCATGAACACTTGACTTTATTCAGATTTTTATTTCCTGAGCTTTTTACTGCTTCAAACCCTCTAAAAAAGTAGGATTGAACTCAAATATGCTGTGTGATCCAAAGACAACTGATTTCTAAATGATTCACTCAAGGGATGCTTGTTAAAAAAAGTAGTAAAAAAGCACAAAGTGTTCATGTTTAGTGTTCTCACGGTAAAGAACAAAGCTTAAAAGAAAAAGAAAGAAAGAAACATGAAAACTAGATGTGTGGTGCTACTGTTTTTTACTTTACTGACCGAGGTGGTATCTTATTTCAAGCGCGCGAAACTTGATTAGCAACTGGACCTGCAGCCTGAATAGTCAATAATAGCCCCATCATAGTATTCATAACCTTACTCATCGGTCAAAATTAATGGATACAAACAATTTTGACATTTAGGTGAAATGATTTTTGTGTGTGTGTCGTTCTGGTTTTCAAAACCGGCACTTTTAGCTACTTGAGGTTTATCGCTAATAGGCCAATCAGAGCGCAGGATCTGTGAAAAACCATTAGTAAGTTTATACTAACATGCCATACATACTGTAGATCATGATATCTCTTATTATTCTGCCTTATAGGGGAACGAGCGAGAAGACGGAACGAGGTCAAATTGATCGACCACAAACTGTGAGTTGCATAATATCATTGAGGACAAATATCAGTTCCAGTGGATGATGATATCGAAGTATCAGTTCCAATGGATGATGATATCGTCCGTTCCCATCAGAGCAGATTGATGCCAGGGAATAAACTGCCAGAAAGCATTTAAATGGTTCCCATTATTCATGTGTCGTCGCCTCAGTTTATTGGCTTTTTTTCAGATTGATCACGAGGAAAGCCATTCAAAAGTTGTTACCTAATTGTTCTATTTTTCGTTTTTTTCGAACAATATCAGCGACGTAGGAAAAAACTTCTAAAAAAATAGGAATAATCAGAAGTGAGAATGCGGGTACGATTATATTATTTAGCCTCTAGATACGCTTTGTAATTATCATTATCATTATTTGCTCAAGCGTTCTAAAGCATGTCTGTTTTTCTCGTTGTTTTCTAGTTTCTATTAATGCTGAAACCGCTTTAATTGTGTCTGATGTAATCATTGTTCTATAAGTGTATTTACGATTTGACCTCGAGTCAGCTGTCCTGACAATTGTCCCCCCTCCCTCCCCTCCCCTCCGCTATTTCAGACATGCTTTGACCATAACATTTCATACGCCTACGATTTTGAGTGCTGAAGAATAGAATAAATTGAGAACATGAATCCCATTAATTTTACTAAATGCCTCTTTTAACATTGTACTAATTGAGAACATTGTTCATCGCCCCCTCCCCTCCCCCTGGAAATGACCAAGTTAATTTAGTGCCTAACGCAACCAATCATGACACGTGTCGTGGTTGGTGAACGAGGTCACGAACATTAACGATTGCGGAAGTAGAAGTATATTTCATTCACGTGTCTGTCATTTAGATTAGATTCCTTCGTGCGTATAGACTCCAGGAGACAGTTGTGTTTTCGTTGCAAATTTATAGGCTTACATCAAGAAAGCTCAGGTTTATTGTCGGGCAGTCAATTCAATTCTCGTATTGGATTCCGGGTGTTTTACCTTAAACTGCCAGTCAATCAATGCTTTATAGTTTCCTGACTGACTGACTKACTAGCCAACTCGAATGACTTCCCGTATGGCAACAGTCGCACACTCCAGTCTTCTGTCCATTTGATACTGCAAGTCAAATCTAGAAATGCTTACAACTTATGGAGTCCTTTTGATATTTTCTGTTACCATTAATCTAAGCGTTGGAGTTTATTTTCTTCTTACCCCATTGTTGGAGCAGTGCTTCAGGAAGACGAACTTAGCCTTTGGAGAAAGAATCACTAAGCTGTTTGAAGAAAAACCAGGAATTGTCTCCAGATTGTAAGTACAATTTTTTCATTTCTGTGCATCTCATTTTTAAGATAAAACTTTTGCCTTCTGCACACAATTCTATAAGACCCAAGCTTTAGAATGTCATAGGGATTTGAGTTCCAAAACATTTTAACTTACTTTATGTTTTGATACAAAAGATTGAACATTGGGGCAAAATGTCAGTATTGTTTTGTGCGCGAAAACAATATAGATATCAAAGAAAAAGCGTATACCGGAAAATCATTCCAAAATGTTAGCCACATTCCTCTCTTGCCTCCTTTAGATAACTCTACAGCCGATAAAATTAATATTTACATTTGGATTTATATTTTTGTGGATAAAATCAGATCAATCGAGCTTAATAAATAAATCAAGGATCCAAAATAAGGCTGGTTTTTTTTTTGGCTGTTTCTTTGGATAATTGTGCAACCCACACTTCCAATTGTGATGATTTGTCAAGATGGTAGCAGATGAATTGCTAGTCCATACATGTTTTTGTCTAGCTATGGGGGTACTGTACGAGTGGCTAGATTCACGCTGGGTTGAGTATATGGCATTGATCATTAATAATAATAATAATATATTTGTAACGGCTTCCGGTCTATTATATCTCTGATATGGGACTCCCGTTAGCAGGCCATATCGTAACGAAAGAAGGCTTTTTTGTCATGACATTATTTCAAGACCACTTTCTCAACGTCTATAGCTTCTATTATCTGAAAACTAACCACTATCTAGACCGCATTCGGCTTACAGGAAGTTTAAGAAAGAAACGAATTTTTCTCTCTGTAGTAATAATAATACTCAGTAATAAAGTAAGCTCGTCTTTACTAGCTTCGTTTTTATCCTTGTTTGGGAGTGTCGATGCCAAGATACTAAACCTATTAATTCTGACCTTCGCCTCTATTAAATGTCACACGAATTTAAAAGTAAATATTTCCGTATCAGTCTTCGTTCGATACGTGCTCCAAAAGGGCGCTTTTTAGCTCCTGACAAGTCTCAAAAAAACGATCCAATAAGCCACAGTTACCGGAAAAACGAAAAGCATTTACAGTCTTATGTTGCACGTTGTATAGATCAAATGGTTCCATGTCGATTCTGATGGACATGGAAGGCAGCCGTAACGGTGGCTTCCTCATTCCATTTCGACACAATCGATTCTGATTGGCTGCGAAAGAAGCCTTTCAGTGCGTTTATGATTTGTCTGATTTGTTAGAGAAATCCGAAGCTAGTTGTGGTTGACGTCCAAAACGTTCTAAACTCAATTTTAAATTGGTGCGTGGGAGAATATGTCAAATACATTGAAAAATAACAATAATTTAGAATATGGCGTAACATAAGCACCAAAGATTTGATGTCAAAGGGAGAAACATGTACTTCTACCAAAATTGCTAATTCGATCATAATTCTGCCGACAAACAAAAACGAAACCTGTCATGTTTTTTCTTCGTTGCAAATATTGAAATTACAGTATAAGAGTAATGTGTGAGTTCCCTTACTTAAAAATATAAGATATCATACTTTCTATTTGATTTGCTTATGTTAATACCGTATCAGTGGTTTAATAAAAATCAAACAGTTCGCATGAGATTTTAAGGAGAAAATAAGTAAATCCTTTCAAGAAAATGTAATCGTTCCTTGTTTTTGAGAATGGTAGATGGATCAAAAGATATGTAATACGTTTTATAACAAAACATTAGATGAAAGTTGATGCGGAAATTCAGAAGGATCCTCGGTGCGTTGTTATGGTAACGGGGTCAATGATTTCAGACAGCGCTCAGTCGCTGGCAGGAAGTCGTTGATAAAAATGCAACAAAAAAATTAGAAGAAAAATTCGAGATAACACAAGAGAGCTACTTATTGAGAGAAAAAACGTAAGATAAAAAAATGAGGTTATACGATCAAAAAGTTCGGTTCGCTAACGCTCGAGGCAGATAAAGCTGGTATGTTAATGTCACATAGTGACACTGACGTGGAAAGCAGAACTTGTGGTACAATAATTCGTTTCGCTGGCTGGTCTACTTTTATTGCCCTAAAGGCTCTCAAAACCACAGACAGTAAAATAACCAACAATAGCAAAGCCGGAACTACGAGAAAAGAGGGGACTTTGTACTTTTGGACTTACATATGACACCTAACCTATGCTTTGTCGAAATTAAGGAATATTTGTGCTAGAAATGTCTTAGGAATATAGGAAATTAAATTTAATCTTTAGAAAGTAAAATTAAAGCGTACGATCATTGATAATTTTTTGTTATCGTCAGTGATGAATATTCGGCTTGGAATGTATGCAGTATCATAATGAGCGGAAGAACTAATACAATCCCGATAGGCAACTGGTTGTCCCACTAATGGAATTTTTTCTAGTATTCTTTTATAGTCTGCGAGACAAAACTTCAAATATGCCAATGAATAGATATGAGCGTTGCTTTTTGTTGCGCTTAACGAACGACCTACTGCAAAATAATATCGAGGAAAAAATACGCTCTGTAAAACCGAAGCACTTTTTCTTCGGAAATTTTACAGAAATACCTTGGCTGAAAATGGTAATAGGTTAACGATTTTGTTTTTTTGTTTTTATATTTTACAATGTAAGTTCGTATGGACCGTGGAATGTTCTCACGACGTTTTCTGCTAGCGGCCTGCGTTTCGACTCTTTTGAAGGAATTAAAAATAAGAATATTAGAGATGAGTAAACAAATTAAATCCGACTGTTGGCTCCTTTCTTTTGAACGATTTCTAGATCAAAGTGAGGAGACTGACGAGGCTTTGTTGTCCTCGGAAAAAAAGTGGCTCTATCATCTAGTAAAACAAGAGCTTTGAACCAACATGTGTAAAAAGATCATTTTCATAGAATCTATGAAGTGTTGTGTTCAACCACTTTATTGTGTTGCGCTTTTGTTTGAAACCACTGGACGATCGTGACGCAAGTGGTACAATATATAACATTAAGTGTTTTTCGCTTAGTTTTTTTTTAAGAAAAAAAAATTATCAACTTCCTCTAGAGCAATAAAAAACCTCATGCTGTTAATCACTTGATACAAAACAAAGTTTAGAAGAAAAAAGGAAACCATCATTGATCATCATTACATTTACAATCTTTAATGCTCACACAGATTAAACAAATAAGGTTTAAAACTTTAGAAGGCGTTTGCTAAAATTTTGGTTCCAAACTCGAGCCAGGAAAGTCGATATACTGTTACTGACAGCGCGCCGGCAAAGGAAAGCGCGCGAGCTAATATAACGAATTCTTAAGACGATTTTATGTCATTAGCAACGCAGGAAGCTATAATTCACCTATAAACTGCACTAATTGAATAGCGCACGGAATCCTGAGGACTAATATATTTTATTTTTAAGCTGGGCTATTATTACGACAGTTTATTCTTCCTGTGTTGAATAATGTAGTCTACTGGTGAGCGGATTTCGTTTCATGGTGTGAAGGAAACGTTGTGCAACCAACTTACATCACGACACGCTGTGACACTGAATTGGCTTTTCATAAATATTATTAGCAATATATTCCTTATTTATCTTATTTTTTGTGCGTCGTCACTCAAACCGTATTTTTCAAATTATTACTCAGCAGCGACAAACCACGTAGGAAAAAAAGTAAAATCACAAAAAAACAAAACAAAAACACTTGTAAGCTGACCTCAATCATTTTGATACGTGGTCGATAGAGTACTGAGGGGATAGGGGTGCGTAAGAAGACACGTAAAGTGAAAGTAGAACAGTTGTTGATCTTGAGCTTAGCGCTGTTTTGCTTGTCTTCTTTTTTAATTAACAGGAAATAAAAATTTTCCGAAACTAATACAAAGTTTGCCTGAATATTCCATTCAATGAGATACATTCTTCGATATCTTTCAATGAGATATACTCAACCTAATCCTCGAATACAAATGTTTTCTATAAGAATATATTATGAAAATTGATTAAGGAGGCTCTGGGTAGTTTTGGTCTGGCACACCTAGCCGCATTGAAACGGCTACAACTTCGTCTTGAATAACTCGATCTGCAAGCACTTTTCACACAATGTCAGGAAAGGATTAAAGGTTTCAAAAATGATAAATTAGTTTAAAGCGGCCTTTTCATTATGACGTAATGATGACATCATAGAAATCGTTTACCGCTTATTTTCTCGAAAACTAGATCTAAACTTTCAAAGCGACTTGCACCAGTCGATAGTATTAATCAAGGCACCCAACATATTGCAATATGAAAAAAATGTATGAAAGCGTTTTCCAAACATTACGCGATGAATATTTTCATGGACTTTTACTATTATTTCCAGCGTGTCAACTTCATACCCTCAAAATCGGGACTTTAATTTAGTGGATTTAATATTTTTAGTGGCTAGAATATAGGTACGGATATAGACACTGTCCTTTTTGAGTATGAATCAAATTGTGACTTTCTTTCTAACGTTATGGATTTTTTTTGATATGAAGCTAAATGACCTCATTCGTTGTCAAAAGCGATAGAAAATATCGATGAAAGCGGCATTCAAAAAATCGTCGAACGATTTTTTTCTAAATGAAGTCACTAAAAGATGTATCTTTTACAAATATTCTCCTTTAATTTCATCTGCATTGAAGGGTTTTAAGGCAGTCAAATAAGAATAAGTACACTCATAACTATTTTCGCTCACGGCTCAGTGCTTGTTGATTATTCACGCTTGACTTCCGTGTTATTCCTTGTCGTGTTCTGTTAGTTATGAGCGTACGTTTTTTTGATAATACTGATTTTTTTTACAGCCGAAACGATAAAAAATACGTGCTTCATCCTTCCTTTCCTTTGCATTTTCTGGGTATAAACCAAAAAATTACTAGCTTTTTAGTTAGGTTCAACGCTCAACTTGACATTTATTCTGAAAATAAATATTAATGGTTTCAAGGACTCTCTATATGCTAACTATCACGTTTGTCAACATTGCATAAAAAAAATTAATTGCCATATTTCATTTCCTCTCGTCGGGTGTTTTGATCTAGACCGGATATACTCTTGTTAAATTGTTTTTTAAACAGCTGAATTACTGAAAATACTACTGACAACACGACGAAACTAACTGCAAAATATCCACCATTGAAATCGAAATCAAGTATCGAAATTATGTTTTCTAATCATTTCACTTAGTCATAGCTTAAAAAACTATTCTGTTATAGTTTATTTCCTCAAGTTAAGTTATGCAATTTGATTGGACAAAAGTCACGTGGTACTCTAAAGCCATTAAAGTTTTCATTTACTTGGTCAGTATTCGATTTGATTATCTTTTCATCGCGCATTGAGAAACTGAAATCGCCCCATTAACGCCAAGTATAGTAAACACATTCTCTTACATTTCCATTAACATCGAGCGATTAATTCACGGGTTTCTCACGACCCATAAAACATTTCGATTTAGCTCATTTGATTCAAATTCGAGGGGAACTTCGCATAAGTATAATAGCTTGTTATTCTTCGCTGTAGTCGATTCAAATGAGCCAAATCGAAATACTTTATGGGTGGTAAGAAGTGGTTTTGTCACTAGACCTCAATCTGCGCTAAATTCATTGCTTTGGCGCTATCCCTTCAGTTGAATCACGCTGAAACACTCACGAGCTATTCAGAATCAACCGAGCATAACCGCTAAATATTGACCTTCATCGGATAGATCGTGAACACGACTAATACTGGGCTATTGGAAATATACTAGTGAGACGGAAATCACTGGGATACGGTTTGTGTAGTGCGCAATTATCTCACATGATAGTTAGACTTTCCGCTTGGGTAGAACGCGACTAGTATAGCACTGTTGGAATAAACTGGTAAGAGGAACGGTAAAAACTAGGTTAGTAGATTACATTAGGTACGTAATTCTTCCCACTTGGGTAAAACACGACTAATAGTACTGCAATCAGTTGCAGTATACACCTAATTGAAAAAACGTTGTCGGGTTCAAAAAAAGGTTATATCATCAAAGCTAAGACCGAAGGGGAGCATGGGAAGACAAACAATTATGCTAATTTCATGCATATTGCAGTTTTCCCTTCCTGTGCACATTTTATGCATCATGGCTTTGGTATGTTGTTAATCTAGGTCGACCGACTTTGCTCTACTGTGCATTTTTACATGTCTATATGCAAATATAATACACATTTCGGAGTACCCAAATTCCTTTTCGGTCTTAGCTTCGATGATATGTCCTTCTCGAACCCGAATACGTTTTTTCAGTTAGGTGTATTAGTAAGCGGAACGGGTAAAACTAAGCTACTTGTTTGTGGTAGTGCGCACTTGTCTCGTCATGTTAGGCCGACAGACTTCCCGCTTGCATCAAACTGGCTCTAAAACAGTATCCGGTGTTTCTGAAGGAAGTCTTACTAATGATTTGGCAGATGGCTGAACTATTATGTACTTATTTTCGGCAAAACGACTGACAAGTTTAAATTAACTTTTAAATTGAATACCTATTCTAGTGTATTTTTAAGTTCAAAACTAGTCTATATTAATATCGCTTAACCATGTTATGATCAAAAACAAAGATTTCAAACACTTCTCATACGAATGCAAACTTCCTCTTCCAAACGAAAGTGCTAACCAATCGACCAATTTAGCTTGGAGGTATTTTTTCCCCATTTCAGGTCACGTTTCATTTCAAAAAATCTTATTCTCAAGAATAAGGTTCTTTGTTTGAGCTGCATGTATCCAGATTTATGTGTCTTTTTATGCGCAACCATAAAACAAAGAAATGTTACTCTAGAGAATAATACATGGTCTGAAATGGAAAAAAAACATTACGCCCAAGCAAAATTAGTCTATACTTTCCGATAAAATACTGATCTGTTTAGGGATCTGCTCTCAATACATGATTATGATTATGATTTATATAACGCCCTTATTCCATATCGATATGCCCAAAGGCGCTTCACAATAAGTCACGCATTTATGAGGTGGTTAGTACGGAGGAAAATAGGCACTGAAAGTGGCCACTGCCAGGGATTACATTACATCCTCACTAGTTCTTTAATTTACTTCCCTCTTATATATTAGAGTGCTTTTAGTCTCAATGAATAGGTGACGTCAACTAAATTAGATAAGTTATTTACTATTTTAGGTGACGTCACCTAAATTTGAAACTACGAGTAAACAGCTACTGAGATCAGGGGGAGAATCGATGATACAAATGAATGTCTATTCACTCATTCTCTGGTAAAACAACCCCCCGGATTAGCATGACCGTTATTTGGCGCGCTTTTACTATTTTAGGTGACGTCAACTAAATAGTTATCTAAGTTAGATACATTTATCTAACTATTCAACAGTGAGAATAAAAGCACTATACATCTCAGTAATTGCGTCTAATTAATATCTGATTGATCTAGTTTCAGGGATCAGATCTTCTCAATTATCATCTTCATCTATGGAATCACTCTACTGATTGTCAGCGATGTCTTTCAGAATCCTTTTCTGGAAATCTCCGAGCCTATTTTGGCAGCCTTTGCTCTGGACCTTGGCCACTACGTGTACCGATTTTTTCAGGATATCTTGCTAAGGAACTTCATACCACTATTTAAAATCAATCTATTACATCATATAGTGACTATCTCGACTTATGCGGTATTTATGCTGTATAAACAAAACGCCATCTCGGGTGTTATTGGACTCTTATTTGAAGGAAGTGCTATCTTTTTTGACTTATGTGGGTTCTTAAGATCCCTGGGGATCAGCAAGAACTCCTATCTGTACATAAATTGTGTTATAATAGGATTCATATTGACGATTATTTGCAGAGCTTTATGTCCATTAACATTATTAGTAGTAGTATTTTTGAGTCATAGCCCGTTAAGGATGGAATATCTTCCCCTGGGATTCTTCTTTATGAACATCGTATTTTTTACAATGGTTAATGGTTGGCTTGTAAAAAGCTCGTTTGACAGTCTAAGACGAAGGATTCTATCACGACGGATTCTTAACGAACTCTCAAGATTTCGGAACGTCCGCGCCTTGGACGACAGTCAGGAGATAACCCCTGGTGAGGTGGAACTCAATAACTTAGGAGCATCGAGACAACCTGTAAGGCAGCCTGTTACAATCGTTATACCAGCAGATGAAAGCTTCAGGCTTGCGCCGCCTGTTTCTAATCTTAATATGGACTATAGTAGAGCTCTAGTTTCAAATATTACTGTATCTCGTCATGAAAGAACATTGCCTAATATCAATTATATTGTTAATGAGACATCGACGACTATGCCAGACACGGCTTCTATTACTTTATCTCAAGAATCGAATACTTTTGTGTAAAGAAATAAAGAAAGAATTTATCATAGCGTTTATAATGAATGATTATTTATGTTTCTGTGTTGGTTACTTGTCGTTTTTCATATAACGTTGATGTCATTAATGCCAGTGAATGTTCTTTTTCTGCACTCATCGACACTTGAAGCAATGCCCCTGAGTATAGTACTGAGTATAGTACTATAAATGGGGGCTATCCACCCACTTGGATAGTTTAAAAGATCAAAATAAATAATAAAACCAAATTCAAAAAGGCACTTTCTTTACAGCCACAAAAGGGCACAAGGGTGCCGGATTTTTCACTTAAAGGTATAAGAGGAGAAAAAATATGTGTACGGACACTGTAACCGTCATCTTCTAGAATTATAAGGCCCTGTCATTCGTTATTTGGTAAGGCATTTTTATAGCAGCATTTACAAACAATTACAAAAGAATGCTGTCTAGCGAGGAATACAAAATGTATAATACACTTTCTCCATTTTAATAGGATACAATACCATGTTAAATTACATGTTTGTTTAGGTTTCCTTAAATATCAGTTAGCTGTCTGTAAAAAGGAGATTGAATATTTATTCAGATGGATTGCGAATATTTTATAGTTAGAATACTTTGAAACATGTTAGAACATATTATTACTAGCTGTGTACTGCTCAGTATTTAAGATACATTCATGTAAATAAATATTCATGAATAAAGTTCTGGCCAAGTTCTACTACTTTGATCACGTTCCTTTAGAATTTTTGTGATCATATTTAAGCAGATTTTAGCACAACTGAGCGTGAAGAAATACCCTGTGAGAAGAGTCTCCTTTTAACTCCTCTACGGGCGAGAGAAGGAAAGGAAACTCTGCTCACAGGGTAGTGAAGAAAGGAACTGAGGTGAGTAGTATATGGAGTTGCAACTTCAATGGTCATAAATTGATATCATACCTAATAACACAAACTTTTGATAAATATTGGAGGGCATATTGGCTGCCAGCAGTCAATACACCCTTTTTTATCAGTTTTGCCAATCAAGGAGCACAACTTGATTTTACAAAGAAACAGCTGTATTCTTTCCAATATTGCACAATACTGTGCTCTATTACACTGAACATAGGAATCAAAGCATAGCTTTAATGAGAGATTCTTTTGAATCGAAATGTAATAGTTTTTAGAAGTTTCTTTCCCTTCAAATGACAATGTAACTTTGTTGGCTGTTGTAATACATGTGTAGCTTATTAATAACAATAGGTTTGATTCAATCCAGTCAAATACTATTATTTTGAAAGTATTAAGATTGTGACATATTTGTATTTCAACAACATTACAGCAGGATTGTAATCAATGAATATACAATCTAAGATAACTCAAATTTACTGTCAATGTACGGCAAATCTCATGTAAATCTCAATACGTGAAACCATAAGATAGCAGGAAGTTTGCAACATAACCTATTTTGAAAATACAGTAGCATGCATTATAGAAGTCTGTGCACTAATCATGGTGTGATCTACAGTGACTAAGCACCCTTGAAATTACATGTACTTAAAATCTGATAAAATGTCTTTTAAAAAAATGACAGTTTTCTGTATTCTCTACTTTCACCTCCCCATAATGCCTTGCGTTTTTGGGGGGTAACCAATCAAAAAACTGTCCCAAATTGAAAGGATTCTTAATTGAATTTATACCATACCTGCTTTTATCTGTACAATACTGATTATCAGTTTATTCCATGTTATTTTTGTGTGTACAGATCATGAACAGTTTTGGTCTTACAGAAAATGTATTGACTTACGAAAAAATGTTTAAAATTTACCTTAAACTTCTTCAAGCTTCTATCTTTTTCTGGTTTTTACTTCGTCATTTTATCTTTGGATACCAAACAAGGTATTTTCAACATTGTCTGATCAGCCTTCAGCAAAATAAGTGGGTTTTTACCCTCTGGTTACCCCCCAAAGACGCAAAGGATTATGGGGATGTGAAAGTCGAGAATAACAGCATGAAAATGTATTCATTAAATATTAAATCTTAGAGCCACTATGTGATTTCAGTGTTGTCTGTCTGTCTGTCTGTCTTTCCTTTCATTTGTTTGTCTTACTGCGTGTCTGTGTAGCTATACACATTATTTGGAAACTAAAGCCTCATTCATAAAATGTCTTACTTGGTACCTGTTATGATTAAATGAGATTTTAATCTATTGCATCATACCAGCACGTTTCATCTTGCGCTCCATTTTCTTTTGCTTCTTTGCGTCAACTTCTTCTTCTGGTGCCTCAGCAAAGAACCAAGGGCCTAGGATGTATGTCCATAACATGTACATTGCTCTCATGGGAGCCTGTAAGTAATTTAGAACATTTGATTACAGTCAAACCACCTCAAGCATGAACATGTAGAGGTCATTAATGACTTTATTTTTGGATTCTTGATTTCATTATTTCAATTTGAACCTTCATTATTGAAAATGAATCTTCAATCTTTAAGGGAAGCCCGGGTGGCGGTGGTGTAGCGGTGTAAGCACTCGCCTCTCATCAATGCAACCCTGGTTTGAGTCCTGCCGGGTTCGGTGTTGTACCTGTACATGAGTAGAGTTGTTTGTTGGTTCTCTCCTGTGCTTCGAGGGTTTGTCTCAGGGTTCCACAGTTTTTCTCCCTCCGGAAAAATCAAGTCCTAAATTCCAATTCGATCATATAATGAGGGTCACAGGTTTGTTAGCCACTGGCCATTAAGTGCTACATGTACCCTCGTGAAAAAAGGACGTTTTTTTAAATGTTCAAAAAATAATAATAGTTTGAAAATTCGATTAACTTGACTCATAGGCTCTTGTTTATAGCAGAAACTGAAGGTAAGTCATTAATGACCTCTATGTGTTCACGCTTGTGATGGTTTAACTGTAATATTATAATAGCTATACATGTATATAAAGGAAATATATGCAGCCACATCACCAGCACCATATAACCTTTATGTGATGCTGTGTGGTAGAGTCCATGCTAATTAACACAAGTCATCTGCAAAAGCTTACACATTATGGATCAATGATGTAATGCACATACCAAAAGCAAGAAGAACCAAAAGTAGTCTGTAAATATAGCAAGGAATTGAACAATTGCTGTTAAAAGTATAAGATCTTTCACATGCCTACCAAAAGAATTTTAAAAAATCATTTTAGTACACAATAGAAGATCTCAAGATCAAAGGAGAAACAAAATCTCATCATTAGCATTTCATGACAAATCTAGAGTGCAGTGCAGTTTTCAAATGACCGTGAGAAGTTTAGTGCCATATGCATGCCTTGCAACAACCATGTTTTCTAGAACTTTGATGAACTGATTTTTTCCCAAGCTATGTGATTGGTCTGGCATTGCCGGAAAAGAGGCTTTGCACCATCACGTGATGGCAGCCATGACAGGAGGCAGGAACCATGGAATCTGGTCTCATCTGATTTAAATGAGAAAGAATTCAGTTTCTCAAAGGAAAAGAAAAAGACTCTATTGCTGTGCTTCCTGTCATGACTGCCATCATGTGATGGTGCAAAGCCTCTATAGTGTCAAAAACACTCCAGATATTTTTGAATTAGTCGATGTGCAAGTAGAGTACAAACACTATAAGTGTGCAATATAAATACCACTAAATACTGCTAAATTATGCTAATTCTATTGTTTTCTATTGTTTAATTAGCACTATTTACTACTAAATAGTGCAAAGTGTTGCACACTTTAATGTTTGTACTCTAGTTGTGTTGCAAAATAAGTTGAAAAGCTCTGCCATTCCTCTTTTCTCAAAACTAGTGAGAAGGGACAGTATAGCCTGACATTAAATCCTGTTACACTAGAATTTGACTTGGTTTAGCATTAGAGGAGTAAAATGGACGTTTATAAAAATGCACTAAGTCTTGAACTTACTCAGCAGTGCCTGACTCAGAATTTAAATCCATCCCACCATCGATTAATGCACCGGTATCAGAGTAGGCTGGTTTTGCCATGGACGTCATGAATTTATAACATCCAATATAAACAAGGGTAGCAAATACAAACATTGTCTGAAATAAGAATAAGTTTATCCTTTTTACAACACTTTCAATGTTGTTCTGTATCTAAAAAAATATTTTAAAATTATATTTTCAGCTGTATCTTCCCCCTTACCCCCTTAAACTTCCAAGATATGATGTCAGCATATTAATAGGAAATCTGTATAATTGATAGCGTCATTTTACTACCAATGTCAAAATGTTTTGCAAGTTTTCTTTTGGATTGTTGGTAATTTTATTTTCTCATGAGAACAGCAAGAGAAATGGTTTGATGAATTGAACAAAAAAAAAATGTGCAAAGGATTTTGGTATTGACAGTATGATTATGATGCTTCAATGAATGCAAATGGTCTAATATCCTCCCAAGCCCAACTTACCCATGATATCCAGCTAGCAGAAAAACTAAAGATGGTTGATCGAAACACAAAATATGCTATCTGTAGATAAAAAAACAATTCAGTCAGTGGACTATGAATGTCTAACCAACTGTGTAAATTACAGGCCATCATGACAAGAAAGACACAAGGATTAGATTGTGTAACTTAATAACTATACTGTACTTATTGTACCTCAACAGCAATCATCAATTTTGAATAAAAATCTACTGTATTATTGTTTTCTTCCAAGATTTGCTTTTGACCCTTGGTTGCTTGTTTTCCTTTTGCCTGAAATACAAACACAATCATACTCAGTTGACCTGATTGACAGTAGAGTTACTGCAAATTTCTTATGTACAACTTGTCTATTAATGATGATAATAAATATAATCTAATAGCCATGATTATGAAGGTCATGCTGATTATAATGATCATAATAACGATAAGGATAATCACTGCTAACTGACTTAGTGTATAATTTCAGGCTATAATTTATAGGCAAGATACAAGTAAGTGCCTCTTTTCTGGCAACTTCATCAGAGTAGCCTGTGTTCAGCTGGTTTAATTCTCTCAAAATAACCAACAATTATTTCAAGGGAATTAAGCCAGCTGAACGCAGGCTACATTAGAGCAGCTTTTAAATGAATGGGATTGGACAATTTCCAACCAGGGCTAGGTTGTTCAAAGCTGGATTAGCACTTATCCAGGATTAACTCTATAGGTCTTATTAAGAGTTAACCCAGGATTAGAACTAATGGGGCTTTGAACAACTGGGCCCAGAACCTGGACTTGTCCGGCCAGTCATTTTGACCAGTAACATTTAGCCAGAAATGAGGTATGACGGAACTAAAACTAATTTGACCTTTGATCATGACCAGCATCTAATTGGCCGTTCAATTAAACCCTGTTTGTATAACGAGCCAATCATATAACAATAGATAGAAGTTATTGTTATAATATGTGAATATCATTTGCGGGGTATTCTGGAGTTATGTGCTATATCATTTCCCACTCATGTAAACCACTCTTGTGATGTTTAGTACATAAAAAATTAAGGACATTGGGCTTTGTCAACATGCAATCATCAATTAACTTACTAATAATGCCATGATTACAAAAGCGACGAACAACAAAGGCACTGTAGTTCAGGATTAAAAACGTAATGATTTAACAGCATAACCTTATGTGCTTATATCAAGCGTGTTGATGCCTTCCCACTTATACGAAACGTTATGACAGCACCTTCTACGAATTTCCAAACCAAATAACGAAGTCCCAACAGGAAATAAACCATGTAAGGACACGTAGGTTTGAATATTTATCGCCAAAAGGAACAAAGCCAGCAGGTGAAACCGCACAAAACTGTGAAATGACATAACTGCTACTGTTTTCAGCCAATTTATTCGGGAAATGCCTTGCATAAAGAGCAATTTGACGTATTAATAAGAGGGAGAAGACAAGTAAAAAATATACACTTACCGGCGCCATCTTGCATTTGGAATGAAAACCAGTCCTTCCGGCCGAGAAACGAATGAAAGAATGCATGATGGGAAAATAGTGTCTGTCGCTATGGTAACAGACACACACAGAATCGAGAATTTTTTTATTTTTTAAAGAAAATTATGCAAATATTATAATAGCCATTATTTTGGATACGAACTAAAAAGTGTGGAAACATGCTGTATGGAATAAGGAAGGAATGCACTCCCGACTAATCAGAATATAGTTCAAAAGCATGCCAATCAGTTGAATACATATAATTAAATTTTAAAAGCAGCCTGGGATAAGGGGCAAACGCTGCCCCCATTAACATAACATAACCATGCTCATCATCAAAATTAATTATGAAGCATTGAAGTTATGTCTGGAAAATTAATGCCATTTGCGAGATATAATATACCAAGCAAGGCTAGAAATTACACCTATAAGCTGACAGCAGCTTATATCACTGCTGTGTGTTTATATTTTGCATATTGACCTTTCAAAATATGCATGTAAAAATTACATACAGTTAGCAGAAGTAACTTCTGAAGTTAATTTACCCCGGGGGGGGGGGGGGGGGTTACCCCCTTTGTTCAGGTGGTAGGGGTGATCGGCAATCCTTTTAGGGTTGAAAATGTTCCCTGTGTGGACCTTCTAGGGGTTCCGGCTCAAAAGTCAATTACATAACATTTTGGGGTCATTTATTATGCAGGTTATCCATGCTAAGCCGCTGCTTTCTTTACAATGATGCACTAAATATTTCTTTAATATGATCATCGTTATAATCTTATTATACACTGTCCTGTTGTTCGTTAAACCGGCGTTGATAGCCGGGGTTTATAGTAAATTACTGAAATAAAGCTGTACCTTTTAGGGTTGGTTTTAAGAGCCTTTTTAATTTATGCGTACCTTTTAGGGACCATTTTAAAAATCGACCGCCGATCACCCCTACCACTTGAACAAAGGGAGTACCCCCCCTCCCCCGGGTTAATTTATTATAAAATTGTTTGTACACTACTTTTTCAATTTTTGGCCTTTTATTTAGTGTTATTGCAATAATAATTTGCTATAGAACTTTTTACAAATGAAAATAAGAAGTTTAATTACAATAATTTATGCCTAGTGTACTTTCATCATTGGTCAAGTACAAAACCTCCCTCAGGCATTTGTTTTTCAGACCTTGTTTTTGTATTGGTCTTCCTGTGGTTTTCTAGATTAATCAACAGGGACTGGTTGTAGTATAAGATGGATAACACTATTAAATGGATAAATCCCTGTCCACTGGATAAGTTGATACTGTTATCCAATAAATTTATCCACTGGATAAGATTTAACTGTCATATAGCACTATCCACTCTTCATGGACTCAACCAGGCCCAGAAGTTACAAGCTTGGAGATGAATTAATGAGCTAACAAAATGTACAAGGATATGAAAATGCTTATTGATTGATTACCATAACAAGAACTGCTACAGTGAAAAAAACTGTTAAAGAACAGTTACATGTACAGTGAAAAGAACTATTGAAGTGAAAAAAACTAATTTTCCGAGGTTGATAAAAGGTTAATTAGAGAGTTTTAGATCGACTTTTTTCTCCCCGCAAACGGCAAACGTGACCACGTTTTCATCGTTTTCCTGTATTTTACTTTACTTTTTACAAACCTTCTCACCAAAGACAAATATTCTTTTGTTTTTCTACTACTTGGACTTTTTTTCGATTCTTTTTAAGCTATTTAAAATTATTTTTAAATGGTGAACTGACTTTTCACGTTTGCCGTGAACATAAATCTAAAACTCTCTATTAATTATTACATTTTATCAACCTCGGAAAATTAGTTGTTTTTTTCATAAAAATTAGATAAGCTAGATCTTAATCTTTGAAATAACGTCTCTCGTGACTATTCTAAAATCTCTAAATCTCTAGGTTCATGTTCATTGGGCACCAGAGAAAGAGAACCTCCAAGGCTTTCAGTAGAAAATATATTGCACTTTACAAAGACTACGAAGTACCAAAAGAAATTCCAAACCTTCACTGATGGGAGCAATCTATCCCCTGGAAGCCCCAGCCCAGCTTCCTCTACCTCAAAAAAAAAAAAAAAACCTTTCCTTTGGTTTAATTGAAATTTCAGATAGTTGATATAATTTCACTGCATGCTTTTTTAAAGCATTTGTTGCAATGGAAGTCTTCAGCATGGGCGTAAGTTTTTACCATTTCAGACCATATGTCATTCCCTTGAGAATAAGATTCTTTGTTTGAGTTTTATCAATGTCCATGTATCTATGTGCACCTGAGCCCATCCATTAAACAAAGGAATGATACTCTAGGGAATCACATGTAGTCTGAAATGGGAAAACATTACGCCCCAGCGAAGGTCTATTGCATCCAATACTACATGTATTTTTTTTCTGGTATGCTAGTCACCTACAAATATATATGGCACTATGACTAGTCATGCTTATGTATTCTTAAAGTGCAAATGAACCCTTTGAAAATACATTCAAGTACTGGTTCTGCATGAAGTAAATAGTTGATTGGTAAAATATTTCTTGATTTGAGTGATGCGTCTCTTAAGTTATTAAGGTTTATACCTCCAATATGTTAATGATGATGACGTCAGGTAAGGTATTTTAGGTGTTTTTGTTGTAACTAGTAATATGCTAAATGCTGGCCATTTTGAAAATAAAAATTTTAAATAGCTTTTATGTAAACCATGAGTAAAATAATGATGCTTTTTAAATACTGTATCTATGAACCAGTTCGATTTTGTATATTCAATTAAGCCTTAATAGACACCACACTAATTAGCATATTGGAAGTATAAACCTTCACAACTTAGAAACGCAACACTCAAATCAAGAAATATTTTACCATTCAACTATTTACTTCATGTAGAATCAGTACTGAAAGTATTGTCAAAGGGTTCACTTGCACTTTAACCATATTTTGTTTTATTAGTGGTTTGAAATTATGTTATAAATGTCAATACTGTGTTGGTTTGATTCAAATGAAATAATTTGTTTCTATAGCATGGTGGTTAAAGGACCCTTTTTGGTCTCATTGCACAAAATACTTAATTTGCATAATGTGAATTAATGGAAGTATAGAATAATTGAAGTGAATGCTCCAAGGAGAAAATGGAACCCTTGCTGTTGCTTGTTTAATCTTAAAATATTGACCAAGTAACCAATGTCAGGTCTGCATTAATGTAGTTTTCTGGTGACGTATGAGACCAATTGGTGCAAGTGCTAGCTCAGGGGATAATATTAATAGCGTTGCACTTATCCATCCACCTTAATACTAGCAGATATGCTTGTGAAAATATAATACAATACCTTGAGTGAAGAGATAACTTACAATACCTATTTAATAAAGTCAATTTTCACAATTGGTTACTAGTTGTGTAGTGTCACTATCATCCACTATTTCAGATTCCTCTTGTGCCACAGTATCCACACTGTATGGTGGAGGAGGTATGTCAGTTTTTATAGGATCCTCTACAGCATATTCAGGTGGAACAAGGAAAGTAGCTGGGACATCTGGTCCAAATGGATATTGAGTGAACATGTAAGCTGGCTGTGGAACAGCAGGCTCTTCTTCATATTGTCTAGTTCCATCAGATAGCTGAAGTGAATAAAATTATAAGTTGTTTTATTTTGAGCTACAAAAAGATTGGCAGACTTAAAGTGAGATTTAATTACAAGTACTGGCATATGATACAAACTAATGAAGGGAATTGAGAATCTTTATTGTTACAAATTTTAGACTGTGAAATTTTTAATCTAAAATTCACGATTCTCTAAAATGCATTTCACTAAGTAGTTAGGCTACATCAAATATTAAAATACATTAAAACAGAGGTACTAAGGCATAAAACCTAAATTTTATCAAAGTCAGGGCACGGAAAAGCCAGACGCCATCCTTGATTTCCAGGGAGTAAAACATATTTATGAAGACGGAGTCTTTCTTTATAAAAAATCACTAGAGGAAGAAGATTAATCAGAAACTATGGACTTCATTGCAATTCCACTTCATTAATATATCATAATTCTTATTTAATGATCTTTGGTCACACTCACTTGTTCAACTCCATTTCTCAGCTGCATTAACTGCTGTCTTCGTCTATTTTTTGCATAGAAATAGAATATCCAGAACACCAACTTCAGAACTATTACCACAATAAGGATTCTAAACAAAAAAGGAGCATTTTGTTTTAAATAATATTAGTTGTTTCCTAAAAATACACAAAAAACATACAATTTTATTATTTTTGTTATCAAATTTTATCCACTTGCAAATAACCATAACCTTAGTAAAAGTTAATAAAACATGTAATGCAAAGTATAATCCTGTTTATGACCAGACTCTAACTTTCATGGAAAAGACGTTCTACTTTAAGTCACAAAACAGAAAGGGGTAGGAAACATAATATGGAATCAATTTGAAGATTAATATAACCCAAAAGGGGTGGGGCAAGGGGTGCTATAGCCCCCTCCCCTTGTTTCTTTTCCCATACTATTCCTTACATTTTCTATTATCTTAGCCCCAACTTTTTCCCATAATAGCATCAAATATTTTCCAATTTTAGGCCCCCCCTATTTAGGATACTGTGTGGCCCCTGTGACAACAATACTTAATTTTCAGTGATAATCTTACTATGCACATCTGTTGTATATAAACAGACATAAGGCACACTGACATATACATGAATTGATGCATGAAAGCTTGATTACTGAAACGTGACTGCACAAAGTAACTCGGAATACAATCATAGCAATGCTAAAAGGGTTACATCACAAAAGCAAACAAAAAATTCAAATTTCAAGATAAAAAAATAAAGCCATTGTATTTTTATAGACTGATTTTTTAAATCTTCACCTATAACCTAGTTTTAACAATAAAAAATATACCTATATGCAATTTTTCCCCCCAATTACTTACATTTCATTCTTAAATTTATATATGAACAATATTCACAATGCAAAAATGGTATAGTTCAAAAAGATTCTAAAATAATTCCTATTGTGTAAGACATCAGCAAGAAGCAAATAATTATGTTTGACATACAGTATACTGGTAGTTGTTTTTTACGTTAAGATCAATCATTTCATCAATCATTAGAAGTATTATATCAAACTCAGTGGATCACGAACGGACAAATAAAAAAAGACGTTTATATTAGTGTAATAGTATAACTTGTATAGATCTCTATTAATTGAACAGATATTCAATACTTACACATAGAAGAGTAGATCCATGATTCGTAATAATTATATATTGGAGGATTTTTGTAATACCCAAGGCCTATTGTTTTCTTCCTTGCAGAGAGGAGTTAAAGGAAACGTTGTATTTGTTGTCAATAATAGTTCACAAAACAACAACAGACCAGTTGCAAAATAATTCGCCCTTATTGAATATATTTCGCCTACATACTTGATGCCTTCAAAAAGAAGAGAAAAAATGAAGTTAAAGTATAAACCTTAATAAAGCATCATCTAATTTACATCTTGTTTTATTTAGGAAAATTGTGAACGTTTCGAGCGCCATATTAATAGCGAGCGTTTTTAGGTACTCGATTTCAAGATAATAAAGTTAAATATGTTATACAGAAAATAGGAAATTTTAATCAACAAATATCTGTAGTCTTGAATTGATATAAAATTCGGGATTTAACGACTTATTGCTAAGTCAAGTCACTTATAAAGAGGCAAAACAATAGAAAAGTTGAGACGTCGTCTCGATCTCGGGCGATCTGTCATTTCATAAGGTCCTACAAAATCGAGATTTTCTTCAAAAATGAATCATTTTAAGCAGTTACTTTAGGGAATAGATAATCAAAGGAAGTTAAATTTACCTTATCTGTCATAAAGAAGGCATTTTTGATCCGTAAAGCGGCAGATTTTATAGAATTTGTCGGGTATATTTTTGTTATCAAGCTCGCCGATCACCTGCGGTGTTTCTTTACCATTCGTCATGAAGCAAAACTGAACACCACCCTCCCCTAGAGCGTAAGATATTGTACTTGATCCCAGTCTCCCAACGGGGCTAGACACGAAAAGGAGGCATGGACGTAATCTTTTGTTCTCATGTACTTTTCTTCTTTTTCATTCCATTTTTCTCGTTTTCTTCATTTGGCTTTCGCACAAAAACATTCGAGTATTAAATTTAAAAAAAACACATGCACACACACAAAAAAAATTGCCATGGTCAAGGGCAAAATAAATGAATATCATCTGAGTATCAGATCTCAGGTTGACAGCTCAGCTTGAGGTGACTGATTGTTGCACCACAAAAAGTTACAATGAGCACTGGATGTAACTTGTTTGTTACATGGAAAACATGAAACATGAATATAATACATAAATCTTTAGTTACTTAATTATTCATTCATTTATAGTGTATCTTATATTCCACAGCTGCACGCAGCTGTACTAGTCTTGTATATTCATACCAGGGGCGGATCCAGGAATTTGTTCAGGGAGGGGTGCAGCGCACAAATGTAACCCAGGGAAGGGTGCACCCCCTAGAATCAAAGGGAAAAAACATTTTGTATTGGTTATATTTGAAGTAGGGGCACAAAGTTGAACCAGGGAGGGGTGGTACCTCCTGCACCCCTCCCCTGGATCCGCCACTACATACTTTGAACCAACTGAAAGTTTAAGGGCAGTACCCAGGAATTTACAAGAAAGGGGTGGGGCGAGTTAAAATTTATGAGGAAGGGTCAAAATGTATACTTCAAACAAAATTTACTATAAACCTGTGGCAAAAACTAAAAAGCAATCAATCAAATCTCAGGTGTGACAGGGGGGTGAAATCCTGCCTACCCTCCCCATGGATCCCCCTTGTAGTCTTTATGTCTATGCTTTTTGACATGGCATGGGTAAATAGTGGTAGCAACAGTTTATGAAATTCAAACAGACTAGTAACAACCTGGTGTTGTAACCTTAACTTGAATGGACCCGACACGGCACAACTGTATCCAACTAATAATGTTAAGATTAAGCATTAATGTTAAGCATTCTCTTGCTGAAGAATGTGTGTAAAGTAGAGTACAAACACTATAAGTGTGTAACATAAATACCACTAAATACTGCTAAATTATGCTAATCCTATTGTTTTCTATTGTTTGATTAGCACTATTTACTAAGAAATAGTGCAAAGTGTTGCACACTTTTAGTGTTTGTACTCTAACAAAAAAAGGAAAGATAGCTTTTAATAACAGAATTAGAATTTGAATGAGTCATAATAGTTTAATAGCTTCCTTCACAGTTCCTTGTGTCTTTTCATCAAAGCGAGGACAGCAGTGACCTTGCAATGATAGAGCTTTTTAAACACCTTGGACAACACACCAATCCTGCGTTCATTGTTTTACCTCCCTAGTTACTGTTGCTACAAGCTAAAATGAGTTTTCCATCTACAGCATGGAACAGACACTGATTGCTGTAAATTGTAAATGTCTGGTCTTAGAATCAATTTATTCTACAGATACATTAAGAAAAAAATCGATGACTACTAAAAATAATTATGAATTTGAGTTTGTTGGTAGGACATTCTGTATCTTATTGCGAAAACTACCCATTGTTTAGGTTGGCACTCAAGTAAGCCGGGATCAATGTATTATCCACATGTCTCTATCACTGCAATGTCAGCACTATTACTTTGATGAACAGGCACTGTTACCTTTCAAGATGGCACAGTGAGCTGTGAAGGAGACTATTAGAGAATGGTCATGCATATTCCTATAAATTAAAGTGTGGTCTATAAATAGAGTTCTATGGAACGAAAAATGCTTTTTATGAAGTTGTTTCATGACTGCAATCCAAAATTGATTGACAAAAAAAGATGTTTATTTATAAGGTGAACAAGCTAAATAGAAAGTGTAGCTGTAAGAGCACCTTGTTTCAAAGATAAACTGGCAAATACAATAACCCCCAAGTCCCAAAATTTCGTTTAAAAATTCATAAAGTTGAAGCAATTAGCTTTTCCAATAAAAAAAGAGAAAATATATAAACTTTCAGAACTGCTACTGATTTATCCCAATGATCAAAAGGAATTTAAAATAGAGAAATTAAGAATGGCCTAACATTTTCCCTACTGGGACCAATTCAGACCATGAGGGTGAGATTTTTTTGAAGCAAAGTTCAAGAGACTTGAGTTTCCTCCTAGTCTCCTATGCAGTCACTTTTAGTGTTGACACGCAATGCTCTCTCTCCCTAAAGGGATTGAGCATTATGTGACGACACAAATAGCAGCTGCATAGAAGACTAGAAGACTAATTTTCTAAGTAAACACTAAACATTAACTTTTTTTACAAAGCCAAATAGTTCTTTGGCTCTCATAATAGCTATACTGGGGAAACCAGTAACGAACTGCTGTGACATGAGTGACTGAGAGTGAGTTTATTTTTCATAGGACTACATGAAAACGCTGGGGTTTTTTTTACCAAGATTTTGACTTCTGGTAAAAGTAGAAATCTTACAATTACATTCATTTTGAATAACATATGCAGTTGTAACTAATGTTTTCACTGAGTATGTGCCTTTCTTGTGCTTAAATGTGGAGGTACACAGAGGAAAACATGATTTTTAGTCATGGCTGCTGAATAAGAAAAGCCCATTACATTTGCATGTGCCTTTGAAATTTGATTTTGTATTTCTCGAAGATGCCACTGAAATACTTTGATTGACATCCACCAAACCCTACTTTGCCATGACAAAGATACTGCATGTGTTAATTAGCCATTCCAAGGCTAAGTTAAGTTTGTATTACCGTGCACTATAGGACTGTTTTAGGGGACAACATAGATGACACCTTGAATAAATATCCTATTAACCAGTCCCACAATACACTGTAATGCCAACTCAACCCAGGGATTTCCTCAGCCTTGGAATTGCCAATTGAAAATGAGTGTAAGTAGCAAAAGTTCACTCAGCTCCAGCTTCATCTTCCCCTTTTTTCTTTGAAGAAGGCTCGTCTGTTGTTTCTTCAACTGTATCCTCTTTATATTTTCTCTTCCTTGATTCTCTGGCAGTTTCCATTGCAGATGAGATGTCTGCTCCATCTTCTTTCTCTGCAGCAGCTGTTGTCATCGTAGGTGCTGAAAGAGACTCATCTGTTGTTTCTTCAACTGTATCCTCTTTGTGTTTTTTCTCTATTGGTTCTCCAGCAGTTTCCATTGGAGATGAGCTTTCTGCTTCATTTTCCTTAGCATCTTCCTTCTCGGCTGCAGGTGTTGTTGTTGGTGCTGTAGATGCTTCAGCTGTTTTTGTGTGTGCAGGAGCTGAATCATTAACGTTGTCCACTTTAACAAAAGCAAAAGCGATGTACATTCCTGTTAAAAAAAAACAACAAACTATTAATATGCTTGTTTATCACAAGGACAGCTAACGAAACTCATGCTGCTTCAGGCCCATTGCTCAAAGAAAAAAAAAAAAAAGTGGGGGGGGGGGGGGGGGGGGGGGAGGGCTGCAATAAGGTCAAAAATAGTGGCCCTATTCTAAAAAGCCCTACAGTACTGCATGTATAAGTAATGGACTTTTCAGTGTTTAATATACAGTACAACAAAAGTATTGGAGGAGGAGTATGGGGGGAGGGCCCATTCACCCTGCTACAGGCCTGTGTTGTTTGCACTTGGCTCATTATAGAGAGTCGAAAAAAAATCTAAAACCTACCAGCAGCCTCCCATTCTTCCTTGGATAATGTACCCTGTATTCAACAAAAATAAAAAGGATAAAATTAAATAAAAAGGATAACATTTATTGACATTTCAATGCTTTATTAATGCTATCAGATGATAGACGAGGGGGTAAGCCACAAGCCACAACTTTCTAGTTGAGCTTTCTCATTTTTTACACGACTTGAAGTTATGAAAGGCCCATTGGCACTCTTTTTCAGTCATTTCATACAAGGTTACACATGTTCTTTAATACTAATAGAATGGAGTATAACCCTTTAGTTTTGGACTGATCATGAATTCATTCATTACAAGTAATTGCAAAATAGCAGGGCACATTTTTCAGAGATAATGATGCTTTGCATTCAGGTCCAACTTTCAAACATTGACATATGAGCAGGCCTTAAATGGTTCAGTTTGTACCAAAGCTGTCATTTATGCAAGATTAACTGTGCAATTAATCATACTGCAATATGCTGTTTTGGAGTTTGATAAACATGACGCATTGTGCTCTAGCTTTGGTAGAAACAACAACATATTGGTCAAACTGACCAGCAAGGCAAAGATTTCACCAGACAAGTTCCAATTCTGGTCAGACGTTGTAGGATAACTGGCCAATATTTATAGCTTTGCTGAATGCACCATGTTTACTATCTCAACCATTGAGAGCTTTGACTCGACATTTGAAGCATCCCCACCCATATCTTATAACTTAGTTGAGCAGGGTTTCTTCTTAGTACATACCACATGTTTCTGGCTTCTCTCTCTGTGATCTCTGTATTTGCTTGTAGACGACTCTGTTTTCCCAGACTGCAAACCCTCTAAGAAGTCTTTAGCATGAGAATATGATTCTTCTGAGGAGGAGGCTTGAGTGTCACCATCACGTTTCGGAGGGTAGGACTGTGGATAAGTGTGCAATTATGGATGAGTAATAAGATATCCTGACACATTTAGTATAATACAAGTTTTGCAGCTCATGTCCTAAATAAGTTGGTAGCATGAATTCTTATGAGAATAAAAGGATAATTCACATGGATGCCATGTTGGTAGATATGACAAACGAAACTAAGAAACATATTTTTTGTTCAAGTTGGCCAATATAGTGGACATGTCTATTGTCATAATATTAGTCTTGAAAAGAATCAAGTACCTCAAGAGCATTCATCCTGGATAACAAGCCCATATTGTCTTTACTATGTTCTTGGAAAAAGTCATGAAAAGTCTTTACATAGACTAGCTTCATGCCATAGTTCTTGGCCATCCTGGAAGGAACAATTCAAGCAACAAATTCATGACAAATTAGCAACAGTTATCATTGACAAATTAATGATGGGCAGCCCTTAGAAGCATATGTGGCGTGTTTCTGAACCTGTAGTCCTTGTTCTAATGCTCTGGTTCAATTCAAAAAGTTCTGCCTCGCTGGTTCTCTACTATACTGTTTTGCTACTTTAAATGAATGAGCAATTTAAATTTACTAACTTTATTGGGAAAACACAAATATTACTTGGCAAACCAGTAGTTTACATTGCTGCCCGTTATTCTTTCTACCCGAGGGGGGGCGGGGGGACTCTCTTGAAAAGTGGGTAGGGTGCTTGATGGACCTTTTAGGGTTGAAAATGATACTTCGCATACCTTTTAGGGTCTCCGGCTGACTCTTAGGATACCTTTTAGGGTCAGATTTGTTCGTTTTGAAAAATATCAAACGTCATACCAGAATATAATGGTTGGAAATGTGTCATTTTAAATGTGGTCATACCTTTTAGGGTCTGAAATCAGCATCTTAGGGTCATTTCCGAGACCGTCCGTCGAGCCATCCTACCCACTTTTCAAGAGAGTCTCCCCCCACCCCCCGGGTCTTTCTACTAAAATTGATAAGAAAAGGAACTAAATTAAATAATAGTTACAAATATTCCATGTGACTTACTTCTCTAATAGAGGAAAGTAGACCAAAAACTCTGGACAATCGACAACGCCTTCAAGATGAAAGTCATATTTACATCCGTACAGGGGGAACTCATCCTTGTTCTCAAATTTTATTTGAAAGACATCATTACCAAATTCCAGTCCTTCTGCCTTCTTTAGTTTGTTACTGAAAATTCAATGAATAATAACTTTGTAAAAAGTAAGACAGTGACTTCAATGATATATTGCTGCACATATTGATTAGTTTTAAATGAACAAAAAGTAAAATGTAACTGTGTAAATATACTGTAGTCAATATTGAAGTTGGATAGCCAAAAAATACAGCAGACAACAAAAAAGATTTAAATTTTAATTTCTTGGTCTGACTTTTAAAGATTTTTCTTAATTTGCAATGTGAATGGCAAAATAGAATGCCCAGACTATATGAAGAGATTTATTTAGCACTAAATTTATAATGCAAAATAGCTTAAATATGTGTATTTTTTCTTTGTGTAATCAGTGCTACTTAGAAAAAATTAGTGCTAATTATGTTATAAAGTATTATATATCTGTGAAAAAATTTGACTACCAAAATTGTACAAATTAGTGTAGTGTTTTGGAGGTCTACGGTCTACTGAAGTCTACTGAACTTACTAATTTGGGCAAATTGGTGCAATTTCTTACAAAGTTTTTAACAGATATATGGTATGCACACCACTGTTTTAGGATATAGTGTCTGCACTCTACGGCAATTTTGAAGGAGAAATTTGTACTGTAGTTTGGCTGTTGTAAACAAAACTTTATCCAACCAAATGACTAAGTTTAAAGAATTTGCACTGTAAGGTTGACATTCAAACACTCTATAAAGAGTTTGGAAAGCACCCTGTTATAAAATATACTCTATAATATAGACTCACACTAGTTCATATGCATTGGGTGTGGTTCCTATGAAGTATCCACCAGGTTTCAGCTTCTCACAAGCATTTTTCAACATTACGTCAGCTTGTTCAAAGCTTTCAAAGGAGTAATGGTAAGAGAACTGGCAACTACAGAGATCAAACACTAGATCCTCGTCAGTGTATATGTCAGCAAGCCTCTCCTGAAATTATTTACAAATAAAAAAGAAAATTAGCAATTATAAAAGCTGAAGACAGATAGTAAAGTTGAAATTAACCCTTTGACTACTAAGGTCCCCCCTCATTACTCTGCCTGTGTTCCTAGAGCTATTCAGAAAGTTGACCAATAATTGTGCTCACAATCATTTATGTGAAGTTTCTGGATTTGGATTGAATAATGCCTTAAGTATGACAACTGAACAATGGGTTACAGTAGGGTATTGTCTTGGGTGGACACAGGCTGATGAAAAATGATAATTTTTGGCCTGTTTTGGCCAGCTCAGGAAACTCAGCAGATTTTGTAATGGCCTGATTTGGTTTCTTCAGTAGTCAAAGGGTTAATAATTGCCAAAAATAGAACAGTCTAGCATCTTCTCTATTCTGCAGCATTGGCATGGTTTGCATTGCTGTATGGTAGTAAAAAAAACTTTCTAAAAATGATTCCAAGTTAGTTTTTACCAATGTCTAAAGCAACAGAAACTTGCCCACAAACAGAGAAACACATAGCATCAATGAAATTCAATACATGTATGGCTCCTTTTCCAGCAACGACTTGTTGAAAGTTTGACAGAAAACACCTGACATCAAACTGCAGGTTTGCAATACCTAGCAAGAATGTTATGCTAAAGGTTTCTACTGACTCCCTGGGAATGATTGCAAACCATTAATAGTACCTTGCTGCAGTCAGCTACAATAAATTGTGTATCAAAAAGAGGATCTCTGTATCTTCTTTCTTCTGCAGTCTTCTTCATGTCCTTGTATCTTTCTTCGCACTGGTCCACAGAAACTTTTGCAATGTCAGCACAGACAAGCTTCCTGATTCTTCCCCTTTGCCATTTGAGGAGGTCACCTCCCTTACCACAACACAGATCCAAAACATGAATGTTTCTATAGTTATATCTGAAGAAAAAATCAACAAAGTAAATCATTAGTTGAGTCAGAAAATATTATCACTATTAGAAAAGTTTCAATTTGATCTGAGTAACTGGAACCCTAGCTTAAATCAGTCCAGGGATTGTTTCAGGGTCCAATGAAACCAAACTTCCTTTTGGCTTATTTAGAAAAACGATTAGTTATAGAATCAAATCAGAATTCCAGCATACTAAATTTCAATTTGATCCAAGATTTGTTAGATGTGCCCTGACTTTGATCAGACCAGAGGCTGTTTTAGAGTTTGATCTGTTAGTTTGACATGCCCTGACTTTGATCAGCTGAGAGGCTGCTTTAGGATTTGACCTACGTGTTAAACATGCCTTTACTTTGATCAGCCCAGAAGTTGTTTCAGGGTATTGATAAAGTCTTAGCCATTGGTTTACAAAACTATGCATGTACTTTTCAAATTACTTTTTAATCTTCTGAAGAAACTCATTAATCATCACACTCTTGATCCAATTATTGAAGTTCCTCATGTGGAAGATCCTGCTTTCCTTTCGGCTTTCCTTTGTTCCTTCAGGGTGTTCATTGTAGTGCTTTGCAACTGTGGTTCCCAGTGCAGTATTACTGCTGTCTGTTTTTGGCTCAGTTTCCGACTTGGCTTCCTCTTTGCTGTGTCCATTTGTGTTTTGTTCCTGTGTCACCCAGAGTAAGATTTATTTAAGCTAACAAAAGCTACTGGCAAATGTATTTATAAGACACATATTTTACAACAATAAATTACTCACAGTAATGAGCCCTTTCGTGAGATTTGCTCTATGTGCACAAGCTAGACCGCTACATTCAACACTCACTATTTACAACAAACAACCCCCAACTCACATAAAGATTTATATGGAGGAAGGAAAACTATAGTACCCCAAGAGAAACCCTTGTGGCAATGGAGAATATAATAACACATCACAAAATTCAACTCTGGGATATGGTTTGGCCATGAATCACACCTGTAACCCCAGGTTTGAATTACAAAGAAGTGAGAGACAGTACCATAACAGAGTAAAACACTGTGTCAAAATTTGTTTTTACAAGAAACTCCATTTTATACCTGTCCTTCATCTTTTGAGGCTTCAGAATCACCTGGGGGAAAATGAGAGACACATGAGTGAGTTTCCACTTTGTTTTTGAATGAGAAATTGTGCAACATACAGTACCTTTGGGTTATATCTTACCAAATTTTCAAACGAAATGGGTATATTACCTGGTGTGTATGGGTTTATGAGTTTGGTCAGAATCACAGTAACAGCACTCAAGATAATACTCCATTTTACAGTTCCGTTCCAAGCTGAGGCTGGAGTTTCTGCACATGATAAAAAGTATAGTTTTGCTATGCGCGGAAACTGCAGCCTCGACTTGCAACTATTATTCGTGGTCACTCGAACGGAACTGTAAAATGGAGTATTGTTTAGCTCATCTAAACAAAAGTATCTTATTCTAGATTGAAGAAAATTAGGTATTTCAAAGAAATTCTGCCAAAAATGTCGACTTGTGTGCGAAAAGAAAATAAGAGTCGGTGTACAGTTGTAATACGAATAGCCACTGCAGTCAATTTAAAACTTGTAGACCTTAAAATCAAAATTCAACTTCAATTCCAATACTAAAAGTATTCTACTGTAAGCTTAAAGCGTGGATAAAAACGTCATAAATAACTTCTAACTAAAGTATAACGTAAAATGTTTGCGTTAAAAGAGTATCAAGTTAAGTTTTCATCATTAATCAGAACAAAGAGAACAAAATTAATTGCATTAACCTTTTAGAGTGAAATACCAAGCACCACGTGATATTCACCACAAACATACACGCACAAAAAACTCTCAAAAAACTTTTTAATTTTGTCTTTCACGCCAAGAAAGACCAACGCACATTGACTTACCTTCTTTAGGGTTTGTTTGAGAGGTTGATTTGTCCTGAGACTTGAGGTCTTCTGCTGTTTTTTCGCTTTCTGCAGCCTGAACTTCAGTTTTGTCTTCCACTGCAGCCATTTTGAAAACGAGGAAGGAAAAACGTGATGGACTGGGTTCCACATGTACCAAAACCACAGGAAACCCACAATTAAACTCTAGATAGTTGCTTCAGTTAATCACTATAACTATCCATCCTACGATCCTCTTTCACCAGCATAGCAATGAGAATTTATTTTCTTGGGCTCCCATAAACACTCCAGGTTTGTCCCTGATTTTATATCATTTTGAAAACTTGTAGAGATGGGATAGGAAATAAATTCTAAAAGTGAATGGAAGAAAAAATGAAAATGGAATAAAATTAAGAGAAACTTTTGGTATCTTTAGGCCAGGGTTTCACTTTAGTATTGACAGTCCCAGCCATACATGTTGTATTTCGTACAAGATTAAAACCAACAAACATGCATCATTATTAATAAATATTGTTATTAAACCCATTAATAATTCCTGAGGAAAACACAATAGAAATCACGACCGTGAAGAGTTTTGTAAATCAGATACAGAATCCTGTTCATTTGCATAAACTTTAAGATGGATTTTCTTGGCCAGATTCACTTTTATCTTAAAAATTTTAGCGAAACACAAAGGAACTAACCTAGACGTTTGATAAGTAATCTACAGTATTCATGTCCGTGTTGTATCCAATATACTAACTCTCGGCTACGCCTCCAGTTTGTATATCGGATACAACGCGGCCACTCATACTGTATATATTACTTATTATAAATTAACTGTTATGAATGTCGCACTCTGATTGGTTTGGAGCGTGTGCTTTATGAGAGCACATTGCACGAGTGCACACTTTCCATTGCTTCATTCCTATCTATTATTGTAATTTGTATTTTATAAAAGAAATAAAAAACTTGCTTGCTGTGCTGTGTGCAGTCATAAAGCACTTGGGGATTGGCAGAACACTCGAGAAGTGTCCAGAAGCACTCCGCTACACGTCCTGCTTCTCCTAACACTTCTCTCGTGTTCTGCCAACCCCCGCGTGCTTTGTGACAGCACACAGCACGCACATGTGTTTTCTATTTCTTCATTAACTGTCTTGTAATCAAATGAAATACACTTGAAAATCAAACTAATTGTAATTCTACTCACTCAAATGTGTACAACCAATCAATAATATATTATTAAAAATCATCAATATATTACTATCAAACATAAGACTTAATAGAGATTCACTGTAAATATATTATCCCATTTCAGACAACATTATTCTGCTGGGAATAATATTTTTTGCTCGAGTCACATTGTAACAGGTAATGACATCTGGAATACAATACTCAAGAGAATAATACATAGTCTAAAATGGGAAAATATCACACTCACATTGAACGAGTCTATTGAATCTCCAATATATTAACAAATGTTTCTTCTTTTTGATAAACTACTCTTACACTGCTGTTGTCTGTACATTCTCCACAAAGAAGTAATGATATTAAAGCAAAAAAACTACTTAAAACTATACTGTTTGCATCCTAATGTTTGCTTCCCTTTTTGATTAGCCTGTGTGCCTCCTAACACAAACCGGTTGGTTTGGTTTGCAAGCCAACCTAACCAACAACTTTTGAATGAATGCCGGCTAATCCAAAAGGGAAGCATACACTTAAGGCTTGCCACTTATGTTTACAAGTTAGTATAGTGCAATAGTGCATAATAGGGAAATTATTATTTGCTTATGATATTTTTCTTTATTTTTTATTAAAACATGTAGCGCTATTCACAACACAGCCATTCACAAAGGGTCAAATAAAAGCATTGAAAAACATTAAACTGGTTGCACATTTTGGGATCTGCACTATACTAGTCTTTATCTTTTATGCCAAACATCTAGGCTTGATTTTTAAAGAAGTGTCATGAATAGATTACACATTTAGATTAATTGACATTTTCTCGTTTGTAATCAAACCTGGATCAGTATTAATCACTTGGGGCTAGGTATATATATATATGCTAAGTTTAAAGACTTGACTAATAAAGCTTTAAATAAGACTGTGCTCCTGGCATTGTATTGAAGGTCAGAATGCATTTTTGACCTATGAGTATTCTTCTCTGAACATCACACTTTTGTCTTTGAATACATTAGGGATGAAAAAAATGGCAACAAAATTAGTAAATTAAAAGGTGGTTGATTATTTCCTTTTATGTGGAACAGCTGGTAGTAATAATAATATGTACAGTTCAACTATGTGCAATTTATGACAAAATAGGTCACATTAGGCAAACATACTATCGTAACATCCAAACTGTTTGAATTTTGCTTCTATATCTCAAAAAAGTAAAAACTTCTTGTGACATCCAGAACTTTTTCGTTATTTAAGACCTGCATTAATTGTTTTGACTCTCTATAATGGGGCCAGATACCATCAATACCATTCATCTCTGCATCATAAAAATGCTTGATGCATCTTGTAACTGATGTGCAGTTTTATCACATGCCTGTGGTAATGCAGAAGTTGTTGTTTCCAGGCAAATAACAATCCATTCGGTCTTTATTTGTCTCTTATCAAATCACAGTGAATTATCCATTTTTCTTTTACAGGTGCATCTTGTAAGGATTGTGCTTCAACTCCATTTGCATTCACCATATGATTCAAACTACAGTAAATTCCATCAGTCTTCTCTTGTTCGGGAAATTCACATTTTTTTATTAGCACTTAGCATTCCAAATTCTGATCTGCAAAACATTTTCATTGAGCCATTCTTTGCCTAATATAACCAAGGTGTGAGAACTTGTATTAACTGTATTGACCAGGATTGCCTTTTTTTGGAGCATCCCTTGGAGAATCAGGATCAACCTGCATGTCTTGGACATCATCAGTGTCATGTCTTTGAACTGACAACGACACCACTGTCATCAGGTCACTAAAATCTAATGCTGTTCCTTCTTTACTCTAAAAACAAACGAAAACTTGTTCATAAGACATGTATGTAAATTTATATTTATTTTTGATATCTTTGAGCCAGCTTTATCATTCCAGGATTTTACACGTCTAGTAGGAATCTTAATTCTGACTGATAAGATTTTTTTTTAAATATGGCACCAATACTTTACCATGAAAGCAAAAAATGGATAGAAAGAAAGTGGACTTTGGCAGGCCAAACAATTTCAAATGAATCTTAATTTTGCTTTTTTTTTGAGGGAACAAATTCATTTTATAAGTAAATAATACTTACTGCTTTATAGTCTAAAAACATTTGCTTGAAAGCCAAAAAGTCTGTAAAGCTCAAAAGCATTTCTACGATATCTGGTCCAATCTGATCTGATCGGTGCCTATAGTGGAAGAAAAACAAAATAAACTGTTTAAATTATCATGATAAACAATAAGGGACAGAGGAGGGGTACTCCTGCAAGTGCTTTTTTGACTTTTTTAGGGCAAAGGGATCAGATTTAATAAACTTGACCAGTGATAAGGGTGGAGGCCTCCTGTGGTGAAAAGTCTTGTACTCCAAGGCGGTTGAAAAAGGGGTCAGCTGTGTGTATGATAGACCATTTTCAATATTTTACATAGCCTTATTTTAGCATTAATTAAAAAAACTACTTCATACAAAACTATAGGAGTAAAATTTTTAAATAAGTTTCCCTATAATAACTTACTGTATTAACTTCATAAAATCCTCCATTGAAAAGGAAGGCATTCTCTTCTTAAGTTCATCTTCAATATATTTTTCAACAGTTTTTTCCTGATTCAAAATATAAGCGTACTTTTAATAATAGGATGAAACTCCATGCATAAATCATCGCTATAGCAAGTAGATTAAGCTATAGTGTTGAAACTAGTAAATTGGATTATGAACATCTTCCATGACAAACACTAACAGGAATTCATATTAAATTTTAGACTAATGGCCCACATATGTGCCAAATATGCAATCAAAACCTACAGGCAATGAATTATAACCCCACGTGGCAAATAAAGGCTGATCAACAGAAAAATGTCTGACCATATTTGTGCTTTCCTGGCCAAAGGCTCTTAGGCCAGTTCTCTTGACCAACCACTTGTTAATCAGTTTGATGTGTCTAGTCATCATAAATGTTCATGTATTGAGCAGCCATTATATTTAGCTCATGTCCCAATACATTTGTTTATAATAGATACATGTATTAGAATTATTAGATACATGTATTAGAATTAAAATCTACAGTGTATTGCCTTCAAACAATGATTGTTTGAAGGCAATACAATATTGTTTCAAGTACTCGATACTTTTGGTTCAATACCACAAATGCAAAGAGCTGACTGACTCAAATGCAACAATCGGAGGTAATGAGTGTGTATCTGCTATTGAATCATCAACTTACATATTCCTTGAATATTTCTGTATAAATAAGCTTGTTTTCTTCTGTATCTTCAAAGTGATGAACATGCTTCTCCATAAAGCTATTCAGCATGGTCTGAAACTCATCTTCTGCATTTCAACAAAATGTTACTAGGATTTGCCGGCACTTTGTTTTGTGGGAATGTGTTTCCATGGAAACAGGTACAGCATATTCAGGGCAAGAGCTGGTTGTGGGATGGGAGGGAGGGGGTGTAGATGGAGGTAGGGCCTTAATTGATCTCAGAGGGTGGATAAAAGATTAGAGCTCATACAAAAAAATGCTAGCTTGAAAATTTAGCTGCCCAAGCATAAATTAATGATAAAGCAAGTAGTAAGTTAAACAAAAACGTTTTAGCAAAAAATTAAAAAGATATGAGAAAAGAAGTGTAAGGACTCTTGCAAAATTATATATAAAGCTGATATACATGGCTTACCAAAAGAGAACATTTTCAACTAAATATATTACTTTGTTCCTTGTATACTATAGACCCCCTCAAATTTATGATGTCTATTTTTTGAAGAGCATTTGATTTTTATAAACGTGTGGACATATAGATACAACATTCACTGTATTTACCCATGATAATGTCTTCTAAATGACCAACAGTGGTATCAAACTTTGTGTCAGCCCTACTGGACCTAGAATGCATAAGAAAATAATAACATCTTTAAAAGAGATGTATGATATCTTGCTTAAATAGGCTGAACAAAGCCCCACTTTATTTAATGTGCAAACATAGTTAACTATGGTGCAAACATAGTTAACTATGGTGCAAACATTCTAATATCGTATTTCAATCGTGGGTATTTTTTCGTTTCATTTTTTGCATGTCTTTTAATTCCGCTTAAGACATTTTCAAACATTTTAAAAACATTTTGATGCGCAAACAAAATCTGTAGTATTTATCGGGCTAAATACCTAAACGACTATGTTCCATGATCAAATTTTTTTAGGTAGTAATGTAATAATTATATTTGAAAAACTACAGCTTTTGGGAAAAAAACTTTTGAAAAAATGTGGAAAATTTCCTGTACGATTAAAAAAGTTTAGCTTGTACTAAAAATCCCTCTAGCAAAGCAGCACAAAAACAGAGATCAAAAGCAGCTATTCAGTTTTACAAGAATTCTTATTATTCAAGAAACAAAAGGCTAATTTGATCTAGCATCTGCAGCTGTTTGAAATATTGGCTTACAAAAACAGTCACAAACAAACTAAAATAATCAAATCAAAACCTAAGACAAATATGGATATTTACCTTCCCATTGCGAGATTCTCTTCTAAATCTAATGAGTGTAGCTCTGAAAATGAATTATAACGAGAGAAAGGATGAGAAAATAGAGGTAAAAGTAAAGAAATATTTGTTGTTATAATCTTCTTTCTTACCCGCCATCTTGGTTTGAACTGTTATGATGGGCGATAACCGCTGGATGAAGTTCGTCAGGTTCAGATCCCGCGGGTCTACGGGAAATGTACGGGTTTTGGGGTTTGCCCTTTCAAGCTGCCTTTGCACTCCAAGTAATCAAACACTTCATTCACTTCATTAAAAAATAATGCATAGAAAAACGAATAGGGTTGGTTCTATTGTCTTTGGTAAAGAAATTGTTTTTTTTAAAGTCGCAAAAATCTACCAGATGTTTTTGAGAGCTTCAAGTGACTAGTCCCAGTCTCCTCATTTGGGTGTTTATTCCAAGGCAGCCTTTGGATTTGTGAGACGATCGCGATTATAGCTAAGAGTTGATCTTTTGGGGATGATTTGTGATTCTTTCAGCCTGGTATAATTCTCCATTGGTTTTACTAAAGCTGAGACAAGCATAGGTCAAAAAAAGAACGAAATCAAAGCGTTTTGACACAAGTCGTAATCGTGTCGACTCAAGGAATCAACTGCGGAACCTTTGCATGAAGTTGTGTTAGCTTATGTAAAAGATCAACCAAGCCCACTCGATCGTGTAGCTACTGTGTATGGATACGAGGAGTGATACTAGCAATCGATTTCCAGCTCAAAACCAACAGGACAAGCATGAAGTCTTTCTGGATCTGTGAAAAAAGGAAGTCATGACGAGCTTGAATGACTTCATTCACTGTGAATGAATACACACTGTTTAGAGTGATCGAGCAACTCTTACCAGTTAGATATGATTGAAAATATTCTCAACTAGTTGGTTGATTTTTTGAGTAGCAGATATGGGATGCTGTGGGTCAAAATCGAAGAAATCCATCGATCTTGAAGACTACTCCTACACCAAAAACAAGGAGAAAAACAAGGAGAAAAACAAGTATGCATTGGGGTGAGTGAGCATTCAATGACTATATTAAACTTGATGTATAGCTATGCAACTAGGAGCTACGATTTTACACCGATTTCTTTATATTTTTTGTATCTAAACCTTTCTAAATTAAGGTCTATTCTCTTCAGGCAAAAATATTTTTTCTAGAATAAAAAAATCATCAATGTAAGATCCACTTCAAACATGTCGATCATCTAACACAGCATTTAGACAATCAGTCACCAACAAAAACCTTAATAAATCAAATTTATTATATATTGCTTTTCATTTCTGTAGATCAATTCTAAACTCGAATGACATAAAAAGACTATATAAATGGTCAATTATTTTAGAATAATATCACAAATTAGAATTGATCGATCACTACTAAATTGAATTTCGCTTTATGAATTGTAATTGTAATCGATTCGGAAGGTTACGCATCATTGATTCGCCTTCCTCATGATAGTGTGTTTGCAAGTCTAATGTTTGCGGCAAGTTTATAGTTTCGGAAAAATAAAAATATTCGATATCTCAAAGAAAGCTACTGGTGATATTTTTAAGATGTTGGTGGATTTTCTTACCTAAATTTTTATGTAAGCCTTGCGTATGTATATTGTCAGTTGGTAATGAAACTAATGAATTCATTTCCAGGGTGTGTTATAACAAGCTCGTTGGTGGTGGCGATTAATGGTGTCTCAATTTTTTTTTTAAATTATCAAAAATTAAGAAACGTAGATTTAAATACACTATGCAGCACTAATATTTACACAGAATTTAGGGAACGGTTTTTGCGTTATGATAATCAATCATCTTTCCTTAGTCTCGTTCCATTCGGTATTTTCTCTCTCTTTTTCCCCCTATAATTGTTTACGATTTTCCCGCATGGAAATATAAATCGTAAATTAGGTGATCGTTATCTGGTCGTTAAATAGTCGTCTGTCAGATCTGCTTTTGGCAGGCTTTGTTTGATCGCGTTGTAACGAGATGAATTAAAGCCCTAAGCAGTTCTTTATTACTGAAAATCTGAATTCGTCCCTTTCCGGGACTTTTAGAGTTTCAAATTTCCAACATCTTTTTAAACGTCAGCAATCTTGTCCATTTTAGACCATTCTGAGCATTCAACCCCACCCTTCCCCCTTAACTAGTACGAAGATTCCTTTAAAAATACTAGATTCATCGAAGGCTCACCTTCTTAGAAAATTTTGCAGACGCGTAATAAATCAGGATGGAATCACACTCGGCTTGACAATTCAGTGAATAATCACGTCTTCGATCTGTGATTAAGTAGTTGTATAACCCTTGACCTGTACACGTCATTAATATTATTATATTTGTCTGGTATTCCAGTAAACTTGCCCCAAGTCGACCTCTCTTGTTTTCCCGGTGTGAAGAGCATTACCTGTAGAGATAAATTATTCCAACTGCAAAGAGGTTAAAGAATTTAATATTTTTTTAGTTGATGACTGAAAAGCCCTGTCTTTTTTTTCTGGGGAAAACTATATATCTGTTATCGTTTATGATGCGGCGAGAGTAATGTATTAGAAAGGTTATATGAAATGGAATGTGAAAAAATGCAATGCAAAAGGACATGTGTGCGGTGCATCTCGACACCTATGCAGTGCAATATGAAGTGCATGAAGGCAAAAAGTGCAATGATTTGTCAAGACACATATCCATTGCAATATGCCGATTATTCAACACAGTATCACTTGTGCGCAATACATCAAGGCACCTATCCAATGCAATATGTCCATTATTCAACGCAGTATTATTTGTGCGCAATCAAGAGACCATGGTCTCTTGGCACAATGATACGATGTTTGTGACGATTGCGCTAACAGAATGAGTAATACGAAAATATATATATCGAGGGGAGCGTAATATATTTATTGATTTGCTTTGCTTTACGAACGTTACAGTATGTGTGTTGTATCTTTCCAGTTCCGGGAAGCAAGGAAGCTATCAGTCACTTAGTAAAATGGACGATCTACCTGATGGCGAACAGAACAACTCGACAGACAAGCCTTATGAACTCAGCCTTCCACAGGATGATTCTACTGATGACCATCTACTGACGAAAGACCCTATGCATGGCTCTGCCTCGTCTTTAGATGAGCTCCTTGGGAAGAAAGAAAAAATACCTGTTAAGAAGAACAACAGCAAAAAGGAAGAAAAGGAATCCGTCAACTTCCTCAAGAAGCAGAAGAAAAATGACATGACAATACCGGAAGATGTCGATATTAAGTTTCAAGGGTCTGACAACAAACAGGGAAGTCGTAATATTGACATTAAGACCTTGGACCGGGAACCGCGACGATTAGACAATGGAAAAACTCTGGTGGCAGATAAATGGAAGAGTGAACCGTTACTGAATGAACCTCATCACGAAAAGACTAAAATCTCGGCCGTTAAGAAGTTGGGATCAGTGCCTGATGTTGCTGTTGAGCCGGCAAACCAAACTGCCAGCGTGAGGACGCTAGAGCATGCTCAAAAGCCTAAAACTCTGGAGGTCTTGCGCAATTATGTTTTTATGGGACACTTAAATGTTAAAGTACCAAAAATTGCTAGAATGGTGCGTCTGTACGTGAGCACTACGTTTACAGGTATGCACCCCCTGCGTACACTATCTTATTAACTAAGTAACTTATCCTTGACCCTCTTATTTTTAGATACTCAAGTAGAACGGAATGCATTGATTGAAAGAGTTTACCCTAAACTTAAGGAGTACTGCCAGGAGCATGGGTACGAGTTTCAAGTGATTGACATGCGCTGGGGTGTAAAGGAACCACATCTTGATGATCACATGTTTGGGGATCTCTGCATCCGGGAAATTCAAATCTGCCAAACGGTTTCCACCGGGCCAAATTTTGTGGTAAGAGAGACTAACTTATCTTATTAACCTGCTTCCATGATATTGGCATCAGAGTGCTTTTCTTTGATGCATGGAAAGCGCTCCAATTCTAACCATATTCCAGCAGATTTTGATGTCGTATATTTCTCATCTTGTAGACTTTGCTGGGGCAAAAATACGGCTTCTGTCCTTTCCCACCAAAAATCTCCATAAGTGAATTCGAAGCACTCACCGCAGCTATTGAAGACACCAATGACAAAGACCTCATCGAAGAGTGGTTCAAACGAGACGACAACGCTGTCCCCCCTGAATACGTATTGCAGCCAGTCACTTCAAAGTTCACTGGTTTTGTTAATCCATCGAGTAAAGAGACCAGAAAAGCAGCATGGAAAGGTTGGCGGGAAGTTTTTGAGAGATTACAAAATATTCTGAGGATAGCGGCAGCCAAGGCCTTGAGTAAAGATGCTGCTTATAAATACTGCGTGTCAGGTGAGCATTTTGTGATGAAATTCCTCACGTTCTTCGCGCAAACTAATTGAGCAAAGACATCGTCAGGACATTTCTATGGTTTGTGTGAAGGAAACTAAAATGTGTCTCAGCCAATGACGGTTCCGGTTAATTCCTATCCAATCAATAGTCTTTTTAGAGCTCATGCAGCAAGGTGTCTCAGCCAATAGAAAATCGAAACCGTTTTTTTTTTTATTTTTCGGTTAATACTTATCCAATCAAAAGTGTGTTTAGTGCGCATGTCATTGTCTCATATTAACCTCTTGTTCTGTCTTACCCAGTTTCGGAAAAGGAGATCGAGCAAGGGATCATAAAAGCACCCAACAGCAACTCTCAAACCCTCTGGTTCAAACGAACCATCATCGACTTGAAGGAAAACCTTAAGAGCGACAAATCAGACAAATTCATTGACATAAAAGAAAAAGGCAAAAAGTCCAAAGAAAAAGGAGCCAGTAAGACCATACAGCTCCGTGAGGTAGACAAGGTGTCTCAGAATTTACTAAAGAATCTGAAAGACAAGAAGATCAGTAAAGTGTTGGACAAGTCGAATATATTCTCTTATGACATCAAATGGGCTTCCAATAAGAATGAGAAAGAGACAAGCATGACGCACGTAGAGTTCCTCAGTAAACTATGCCAAGACTTTTTCCTGGTGATAAGGAGGAGAATTTCAGATGGGATCAAGGAACGCGAAGCCAATGATTTGAAAGAAAAGGACAAAGATAACGTCTTCGAGGAAGCAACTCAACACATTGCTGTCTGTCAATGGAAAACTGCAGATTTTCAATGCAGAGAAGCTCTCCTGGCAAGAATACGAGAGTATATAACAAACACTTGTAGCTCTCCTCTTGTGCTGTACGGAGGGTCTGGGTGTGGAAAGTCGTCAGTGGTTGCTATGGCAGCAAAGCAAGTGCGAACGTGGGTCAATCGAGAAGCCATTGTAGTGCTGCGTTTCCTGGGTACCAGTCCAGACTCGTCCAGTTTGCGATTGGTTCTCCGTAGTGTTTGTCTTCAGCTGTGTCGAGCTTTTGGTGTAAACTCTAACTTCGTTCCGCAGGTAACAAAACATACATTCCCAAACGTTTTTGCCCACTTTGGACTTTTTGAGGGGAGAGGGGATGGGAGGATGAAAATGATTTTCTTTCTCCCTTGACCTCCTTCTTCGTCTTTGTTCACAGGATTACCAAGAGTTAGTTCGTGACTTTCAAGACCGGCTTAGCATGGCCAAGTCAAACCGACCAATCATTGTCTTCCTGGACTCGTTAGAGCAGTTATCCCCCACTGAAAATGCTCATCTTGTCGCTTGGTTGCCAAGGATACTTCCTTCGCATGTGCATGTGGTTGTTAGCACCCTTAAGGATGACAGATACGCTTGTCTGAGCTCACTTCGGGTAAATTCTTGCAATAACTATTACTTATTACGAGTGCCAGAATTATATTTTTAGCCATTTTTTAAACCAATTTCTTTATAGAGTATTACTAGAATGGATACCATACACCCGTGAAAAAAATGACTAACGAAATTTTACAAAGTTTCGTAGGCCAACGGTCTACTGAGGTCTACTGAAACTTTAATAAACCCCGCAAATTTTCGCAATTTTTTATCGAGGTTTTTACGGATATATGGTTATGCACTCTAACATCAAAGTTATTAGCCAACGCCAGTGCGCAAAAAAATAAGTTTTTTCTCATTGTAGAAATTGATCCCGGACTCGTCCAGTTTTGCGGAAGTGACGTCACTATCACAGAACGATGCGTCAGTAATTCTATCCTCCTGGCTTAAGCATGACAACCGACAGTTGACTGACGCACAAAAGAAAATTGTGTTAGACGCCTTTAAATCTTATCCATCACCTTTCTTCCTTAAACTTGCCTACGAGAGAGCTCTTACCTGGAAGTCGTACACAGCCGAAAAAGAGTGCACACTCGAGGCTACCGCGCCCTTGATGATTGAAGCATTCTTTGAGAAAATGGAAAATAAACACGGCAAGGTATTTGTTGGAACTTTGTTTTCTTATCTGACGATAGAGAAGAACGGCTTTAGTGAATCAGAGTTGGAAGATCTTCTAAGCTGCAATGAAGATGTGCTTGATGAGGCATTTCGTTACTGGTCGCCACCCATACGTCGTTTTCCGACGTCTTTATTGGCCCGACTGCGCGCCGATCTAGAGCCGTATCTACTTGAACGCTGTATCAACGGTGTACGAGTCTTTGCATGGTACTATCGGCAGTTCCGTGAGATTGCTGCTAAGAGGTATTTTGATAAAGCCGCGGGTCAGGTCAAGAAGATTCATTGTGAATTATCGGATTATTACCATGGACGATGGACGGAAGGGGCCAAAAAGGATGACGGGAAGGGAGTGTTGAAGGACCGCCATGTTGCAGCACAACCGTTTAAGTTCAGCCAGAAAGTATTCAATCTGAGGAAACTAAATCTGCTTCCTTACCATCTTCTGCGAACCGGAGACGTCGAGAAACTGAAACAACAAACCTTGTGTAACTATGAGTTCTTATCAGCAAAGTTACTTGCGACATCTCCACGTCACGTTTTGCATGACTTCACTGACGCCCTCAGCTACTTCCCCACCGACAAGGACATCGCACTTGTCCTCGAAACACTCCAGTTATCACGTGATGCTCTCACGATATCTGCTGACCAGTTGTCGGCTCAACTCATCGGTCGTCTTTCCGCGCCCCGTTCTCCTAGTCCCGCTATTGCGCGCTTGCTACGTCAGGCTCATCATCCCGCCAAATTTTCGTTCATCCCGAACATTTCCTGTCTCAACCGACCGGGTGGAAAGCTTGTCCACTCGTTACCAGATCTCCACAGCTCGCTAGTTCTCAGCAGTGATAGTACCAAGGCGTTGTCTGTGTCGGGCGATAGGGATATACTATTATGGGATGTACAGAGTGGCAGCGTGCTACAGACCATAGAAAGCACGAGTGACGTCAAACAAATCTTGTTCTGTCTTGATGACAAGCACATCCTTGCATCTTGCAATGGAGCGATTCGACAATGGTTTTTGAAAACTGCTAAACTGAAGTTCGAATTAGAATCTACTGAGACTGCAGCGCCGATCTCTGTAGCACAGAATGGAAGTACGTTAGTTGCGATACTGGACAAGAAGGTCATTACTGCTAAAACATCTGATGGAAAGGAACTCAAGGAATTCCAAGATGGCGACTGTGAGCACGACCAACTTGTTAGCATGGATAACTTAGTGGCCTTGGCAAACTCACGTCAATGTTACGTCAAATTATTTGACATAGAAAGTCAAACCATCCTTAATACTATCCAAGTGTTTGGAGAGAATTCAAATGACGTTGTTAGTACTATGACATTGAGTCCCTTCAATGAGGGCCAACTGATTGTCTATTCACACAAGTCCTCTTGCGTCAGGGTCTTTGATATCAAGTGCACTAACTGCCTTCACGTATTAGGCCCTGACATTTTGTACCCAGCAATTACCAGCGATGGACATTACATGTTGTGTACCAATAGTTATAATGATGTGAGTGTGTGGAACCTCGAGACTGCGATGAAGGAAAGGAACGTGATTCGTCACCCACCATCTACTGCTATCAATCATATTATCAGTCATAACAAGACGATCATCGTCACTGTGTCTGACGATGAAATGGTGAGAGTCTGGGATCTAGAAAGAGAAGAGGTAAGAAACCAAGTAAATTATATTTTGTGCAACCTAGTTCCAAGCAGAAACTTGGTATTTCTTTGACAACAAAGCATTGCGTTTGCGCACGTAAATTTGTTAAACTTATCTCACACATGGATCAAAATAGCGCAACAGTTGTATCACCCTGACCGTTGCCGTTCGAACATAGAGGGCATAATTCTTAGATTCTAATTGGCTAAAATTTCCGCCGCAAAGCTTGATACGAAAGAGCTATAGCTGACTTTTCATCAGGAATTGCGGAATACTTGAAAATGCGGGAAATTAAACTTCGCTTTTACAGCGGTAATTTGTTCGCGCATGCGTCAAGTTTGCTCCCATTTGACAAAATTGTAAAATGGATAGTCAAAAGAACAAGTTTAATATTAAAAATAACTTCCCAAAAAATCGATTTTTTTAACTAAAATTTTTTCAACGAAATTGTATTATAGTTTTGTGGTTCTTAGGTGGGATCCCTGTGGTTTCGTGCTCCAAAAATTGAATTAAAAAAAAAAATTTAAATCAGTTAAAAGCATTTTTACATTACCTCTATAAATAAGTAAAACTAATTTCAGATTTCTGTTTATTTTGTCAAGAAAACCCCAACTTACTCTGCTCCCTTACCCCTTACGTATTGCATATGTGCGTACTAATAAAATTGTGTGTCGGTCACAAAATTTTATAAAAATAACTAATTACTTATTTTTCATAAAATCTTGAAGGCTTTCTATTGGTACAGTTCTTATTTTCTTATTTAGAGTTGAAGGTATTTTAAAATGTCTCAAAAGTAGTCAAAAAATTTCAAAACCCAATATTTTATATCCTGTCATCACACCACAGGGATCCCAAATGGCTTTAGCGGTCAAAAAACAGCTGATAAAAAAATTGAATTACTCTTTTTGCTCAAACATTTTACACTCCTTGGAAACTTATTTTGATACTCTTTCCAATCATGTAAAAAAATTGAGAGATTTTATTTTATTTCACAGAAAATAAGCCGCTTGAAATTTTGTTCCTTAACTCGTTTTTTTCGATGACCCCCAAAATTGGGAAAGTTAAAGAAAAACGTTTTCTTGAAAAATTTGATATGGTTAGAAAGCTAAGGTTAATAGCAACTTGTTTTGGGGGTAATTTTGTCCATATAGGTTAAACTGACGATTTTATAGAAGTTTTTTTCCTTACCAGGAACGCCTGACAAAGATGAAGCCCTGTTAGACAATACTCTTTGTTTTTGTACTTCCAATTTTTCTTTCTTAATAAAATTATCACTGATAATACCTTATGAGATAAGGGTTTTGGCAATATCAAAAAAGTTTTGATCTTTTACAAAATGGCGAGAAAATAAAGGGAAAAACCTTTTAATGGACTTGGGCTACCTGTGCGTACTCTGGAGTGACGTCATTTTAAACACAGGAAACCCAGAAAAATTTCAGTTTTAAAAAATAACTTCCAGAAAGAATTTCCTTTTTTTTTCAATTCCTATATTCATCCATTAATACAAACTAGTATCAGTGCAAGTTTCATAAGAATTCAATTTCTAGAACTAAACAAACCATAGATAAAAGAAAAATCAAGGGCCTTTTGACTAGGCGTTCCTAGTAGGAAAAAACTATTTTGTTCGTAAAAGCCTCTTTTTATTCTTTTTCAAAAAAATAACCACAGATTAGTGTTGCCTGTTACCGTAGCTTTCTAGTGATGTGCATATTGTCAGAATAAAACCATTTTTGAGATTCACCAATTTTTGGGGTTATCGAAAAAACGGTGTTTTGAGTTACGAAATTTCAACCGGCATATTTTCCTTGAAATAAAGGATATTTTTTAAATATTCTTACATATATAGATAGAGTCCAATTAGTACTACATATTGAGTATAATGTTTTTAAAGACAAGGTTTTGATGAAAGTTTTATAGGCTGATTTTGGACCAGTAGGGGCTCTTGGGATCCCTGTGGTGAGATGCGAGTGTATCAAAAATGAGAAAACGGACGAAATATCAACAATATGAACCATTCGTTCAAAATCCTTTTAACAGTATTAAATATACGAACTTTGTCCAGATGCGCTATGTCCAGCTTATAAGTATCACCATGAAGAAACGCTAAATTTAAGCTACAGCACCCAGCTTTTCCAGAATATACAAAACACGTCGTCATTGAAGTCGCCACACAAGATGCGCTTCGGATGGCTGACATTGCGAATTATGAATACGAATATTTGGAGCACTCATTTGTATTGAAATTATTGTCTACAGGCGTCAAACGTGGACTTTGAAGACAACAAAGGTGACCGGTGCATTGAATACCTCGCTATGGTCAAAAGCACCATTCAAAAACAAGTCGTTACCAAGTCACGTGCGTCAGGTGAGAAGTGTTCATTCTTGTGTGATGAAAATAACAAAAGACTAGCCAGCTATTGTGGTTGATGAAAGAAGCGGCGAGACGTGACGGGCAAACTAGCCACAGGCTGATGCAGCCAAAGATATGAAGGGTGGAGGGAGCTTGACCGAATTTTGCGAATGACACTACAGAACTTGGAACAAATATTTTAAAATATCTTTTCTATTCTGATCAAATAAAACTATGGAAAGGGGGGAGGGGCTACAGCATCCATTTGCCCCTTAATGGATCCGCCCCTGCTAACAACATCAACTTAGGCCCCGTCCACGCGCATCCGGAAATTTTTGTATCCGCAAATTCTTTTTTGCGGATACGGGTTGCGTCCACACGTGTCCGATAATTTTTGTATCCGTATCCGGAAATTTTCGAAAACGATGACGTAAACACGATTTTAACAAAATTATTTCAATCTCCTGAGAATTGAAAACCTATTTTTTCCCCTCCAAATTGAGCTGCAATCCGGAATGCTGCAAGGAGTCTATGGCCGGCTACGTTGACTTGCGAAATATGAGATTTTGTGCGAGATCCTTAGATTATTATGTAGCCCCATTTCTGCTGGAATGCATTCATATGGTTTAAAACTACCGGTGGGGACCCTTTATAGTTGCAGAAACCTCTATAATACGGACACCCTGTTTCCTACGGGCAAAGATATTGGGCAAAACCATATGCATCAAGTTTCATACTTAAGACTTTCTATGTCGTGCACAACATCCTAAAGGCTTTGCCGCTTATGTTAAAGACGCTCAAATGAATTGTTTCCAAAATTTGACGCGTGTGTTTGTTACCAACAGGGCCAATTAGCGTCTGGAACGTCATCACCTGTCAGCCAATCAGAACGCTTACTGGTACAAACGCGGATGAGATCCTTGTGGTGGACGAGACACGTGCTGTGGTTCGATCTGGGGCCAAGCTGGCCTTAGTTGATCTTCAAGGAGGAAAACTGATCAAAAAGATGCGATCTGAATTCACCACTAAAACAGACAAAGTCAACAGACATGCCAGCTCGTTGTACAAAAGGCGTGACCTGGCCATCCGATTGGCTGAGAGCCCGCGATTCAACACGCGCACTAAATCAAAAACCCGAAAATTCAACGATTGCGCTTTGGTCGGTACTACGCATGTGCTGGTTCTTTCAAAAGACAGACTTTATATGAAACTTGCTTCCTTGGAAACGGGTGAGCCTGTTGCTAAGCTAAAGGCTGGTCAGCGGCAGATGATCGAGACTATTATGGTCAGTGATAATGGAGCGGTTGCTGTGTGTTCGTGTGAAAACTTCCCGCTTCTGGTGTGGGACATCAAGGAGAGAAGAAACAAGTTTTCTTTAGACATGGAGGGTACCTTCCCACAGCTTGCTATCGCGGACATCACTCATAACGGACATTACCTGGTTGATGTAATCAAACTCGACAAGAAGCACAAAACTGTTGTCACGTGGGATCTCGAGACTGGAACTGTCAAGCATCTGATTGGCCAAGGCGTGAATGTTTGGTCAGTGGCAGTCTCTTCAGTGAGCATGCGCTTAGTTGTGACCGGAAGTAGTGGTTCTGGGGAGACTATTCGAATCTATGATCTCACAAATGGTGAGTTTAAGCACCAGCTGGGTGGACACACAGAACCCGTCAAAGGTGTCTGTCTGTCCAAAGACGGCCGTCGCTTACTGACCTACGTCCCACTGGGCTCCAGGGATCGAAGTGTCTGTCTGTGGGACATTATTACTGGGTGTCCCATTGCGTCATTCACTCCTGACTTGCCTGTGTCTAGTTGTGTCTTGAACGACGACGGTGATCAGGTTGTCATGGTGATCAATAAGTCGCGTCCAATAGTATCCCTTGCTTTGACACATGAAGTTGGATCACGTGAGATGTCGGTTGATGTTTCCAATTCGTACTTCAACCACCCCACCCTTCACGGGGCTGTCTTTGACATGACTGCACAGATGAACTGGGAAGATGCTGAGGATCAAGATGACGAGTAAACAGAGACAGCGCACTGTCTATAGATGTTATACAGAAGCTTTGCACCATCACGTAATGGAAGCCATGGCAGGAGGCAGGAACAATTTAATCTGGTCTAATCTGGATAACATGAGAAAGGGACTGGCGGGTGAAGGACTCTGTCGCTGTGCCTCCTGTCATGGCTGCCATCACCTGATGGTGTAGAGCCTCATCTACCTGTGTGCCTAGTGATACTATTGTACCTACCATTTATTGTGTCAAATCTATTGGTTGTTGCGCCCTGTAGGTTACTACACTACTACTACCTATAGACTTACTTTAGACTAACTATAGACCAACTCTAGACCAACTCTAGACCAACTCTAGACCAACTCTAGACCAACTCTAGACCAACTCTAGACCAACTCTAGACCAACTCTAGACCAACTCTAGACCCACTCTAGACCCACTCTA